TTTTTTATATTACGTTTTACTAAAAACATACTATTAAAAAATTTTAAATAATGCAATAAATATTCATATTATAGATAATTTAAAATATGTATCTGTATCTTTATTATAAATGCTTATAATAAAAATAGACTTGTAGTTAGTGAGTATAAAATGACATATACAATAATCACTGTAAATTGAAATGTATTTCAAAAGTAATGAAATTCTATAAATGAGTATATTAAACTATATATTATTAACAGGATGAGTTAAGGGTTAACGTCAAATTTTTTTGTCGATGGAAAATAAAATTTACATGACGGTGCATCATTTTCGTCGAATTCAAGTATAGGCATAAAGTACGTTTCAAATTTTTAATAATTTTATTCTAATAACTATTGCCAAATAAAGATAATATACCTATATTTTAATTTAAACATTCATATTAAAAAATACTAATATAGTTACAAAAAAAAAAATTAAGTGTAAAATATAGAAGTAATAATTTGATTGCGTTTTTCAATATTCACATTTTTTAATAATTTAATTAAAATAATGAATCATAATAAATGTTCATTAATAAATTAGTAGAACAGTATTAATTTGCAGATTCATTCTTATAATAGTGATTTTAAAGACAGCTGATGAATAATTTTGATAAATTTATTAACAGTGATTGTGCTAATAAAAAATGCTTATTCAAACTTCATACTTAGAATTATCAAATCAGAAGTTGCATTAAGTTCTATATTGTATTATTAATGCAGACATTTGTATGAATTATTTATTTTGGTTAATATTTTATAGTTCATAAATAGTAATAAAAAAATACAAATTCTATATTTATTATTTTTAAATATCATTTTAAAACAATTTCGACCATAATATTTATTAAATATATTAGTTATTGCAAATAGTCTAGTATCTATTTTCGATGTAAAAATTTATCTACGATTTTTCGTAATCTAAACAAATATTTGTTTAAAATCTCTGAGACAGAATCTTAATTCATTTAGAATTTACTAAAAAATTAGTTTGATAAAAGAAGAATTATGTACCGTAATTAGTATTTGGTGTATACGAAATTGTAAAAGAATTTGATGTACTTATTAATTTTACGGGTTGAAAGCACCTATGACTTTCGCTTCCCATTAGTTATATATGATGAATTTAAATAAATATACTTGAGATGAGACAATATATAATTTATTAGTATTATTTATAATTTTTAGATTTTTTTAATATAAAGATTTATGATTTATACATACGTTAAAAGATATTTTATTCTATTTTAGTATATGTAATTACAATAATCTTATGTTATCAGGGTTAATAAATTATTAGAAATACCTGCATAATTTCTAAATTTGTTTATTATTAATTTATTATTTTACAACAACGATATTTGGCCTAATTCTAGCAGTAAACATATTTGTTTTAAATATATTTTTGTCAATGGAAAAAATTTAAGGTTGTAGGATTCATATATGATCATTCTTTTAATTTTGAATGCAAAACAAGATAGTGTACAGTACTTTATTAAGTTAACAAATTTTAAAAATTCTTAGCGAATTAACAATATCAATAGGTAATCAACAGAATGTATAGAAATATACTTTTTAAAGGCGAGTTCTAGTTTATTCGGTATTTGTGAATGTTTACCTTTACTAATTTAATATGTAACATAAGTTACTTTACAAATAGTGCATTATAATTTTCTATTTCATCTTCACGTTCTAAGTACTCTTTACTTTTATCTTAATTATTTTTATTATTTTTACAATTATTTTAGCAATATATTAAAGTTCGATGGCAATATTACGTATTAAAACAGGTATTTAAATAGTAAATGCAACATTGACACATTTTATAATTAATATATTTAAGATAAATTTTAAACTCAATTATATATTAATTATGATTTCATATTTTATGTTCTTTGAATCATGCCTATCAACTCTTTTAATGATTTGTAATTATAATTATGTACAACTTTTTAGATATATTTTAAAAGTTTTTTGCTAAAAAGTCGATCATTCATTTTACATTAAACAAAAATTATTCTGTACAATAATTTTTATTTGATATCCTTTTAACGAAAAATTTAATTAAAAAAAAGTTTTATAAATGGAGTTACCTATTTAAATATTAGTGGCATTTAAAATAAAATAACAAAATTTCTTAATTGATAGTTAATCTGTTATTCTAAATTTATTTTTTAATTTAATTTTTTTGATCCCTCAAAACTATCATTTTCATTCATTTCAGTGTTATCAAAATAATTTCATTAAAATAAACATATTTATTATAGTATCATAAATTTTTAGATTTTATTTTTTCAAATACTTTAAATAATCGTTATTTACAATACTTGCATAAATACTTATTGGTTTATAATTAATGAAAAAAAAGAAACTGTACTTTTTATTAATCAATTATGTTTCATTAGATTTTCTACATTATTAATTATACTAGAGATTTATATGCATTTACTGTGATATTTTTATATATAATTTGTAAATTATAAACAATATATAATGGCTTTCAGTCTCATATTTCTCATAATTCATTATTTACATTAATTAATTATTTTATCAATTAAGAGGCTTTTCAATTGATATTAAAAATATGTTGAAATAACATATTTTTTTATGTAATATTACAATTTCATATTTGTTTTTTTTTCTTAAATAAACTCAAATATAATAGAATAATACTTTTAAGTAATAAACACTTTTACTATTCTTATTTTTGAAACAAAAGCATAACATAGACACATATATTCAATTAATTTATAATAACCAATTAAGAATCGATTTCACAAAGACTAATTGTATTAAATAAATATTAAATAAATATGTTGATAAATTCATTATGAATAAGTTATTTGAACGGAGCAATTGTATTTTCATTATTTCATTGTAGTTATTATTTATAAAAGTGATTAAATTGATGTTGGCAAATAGAATCATCATCAGTATAAGACATTAAAAAAATAAAATTGTGAAGGCTTATTAAAAAATATTTAATCAAAACATAAATACCAGATAAAATGAAATTGATTACTAAACAAATAAATTCAATGACTGTTTAATATCGATTAATTTTATTAAGTACCAAAGATCTAATTTTATGGACTAAAACTTTATATATATATACTGAAAGCTATGAGTAGTGTACAGAAATCAGAAATAAATTTTTTTAATACATCTAAAAGATATTTAGTAAAAGAACTTTAAATTATTCGAAAACATTTTCTGTCACCACAAGATCCATTTCATAGTTGCATAAAAACATTATTAAAACTTGATGTGAAAAATTTCATGGTAAAAGTTACCTGAAAAACACAGTTATATATAAGAGATGGTAAAGGTCATAAAAATATACCTTTCTCAGATAAATTTACAATATACTTTCTGTGGTTAATTGAATTCCATATATGGCTCCAAAAGGACCTCAGACACGATGTAAACTATAAAACAGGTAAATGAATGAAACGAAATACTAATTTACCGAAGATTTTATGGATGAAGAACTTAATAGTTTTAAGAAACTTAAGATATTCAAGTTATTGCACGAGAAACAAAGTTGTGGTTTGTGAAAAAAACGCGTATAATTAAATTTTTACCATTACAAGTAAAAAAAATATTAGAAAGAATTAAAAAATCAAGAAATGTTTCAAAATTAACGCAATTTATTTGACTGCGTCGATTATACATTATTACACATTAATTAAATTTTATTTACTTTTTATAAATTTAAATATTATCCTATATATTACAAATACTGCGTACATGTAGTTTTATATATAAAATAAGAATAAATACAGATAATTACTAGTGTACAAACCCATAAAAATGTCCTCTAACAAATTCATGAATTTTTTCTTTATTAACAGCATGGAGATTTTGAAATTCGTGCAAAGCTGAAAACTTTTTAACATTTAATCCATTAGGTGTTATGAGATCCGGAATTCTTTTCAGTAAATGTTCTGCTTCGAGTCCAGTAATATCAGATACTGTAGTAAATATGTGTGATAGATGAGCTGCAGCGCGTTCCATACAATATCTATGGTATATTTGACGTTTTCCAGCCTCTTCGTCAACATTAAACTATTTAGTAAGAATATATTATTTTGACAACCAATAAGTATATTATACACTAAATGGAAAAAGTCAAATCTAATTAAAATACTCGCAATAGTTACCTTATTCAAATTATTATAAAAATCAGTTTTGCCTGCACATAAATATCTTCCTAAAAGTGTAGCGTGTGTTGTAAAAATTGTAGCAATATTAATATGCCTTGTTCGTAAGGCAATTAATCCAACTCCCGCTTGCCATTCATGACAATGAAGAACAATATGTGGTTCAAACGATAAAACATTTTCTGAGATTTTTCTGAAAATTGAATTAATAAATAATATATAAGTCAATAAAAATGTTAATAGAATGGTTTATAAAATTGTCATTTTATATATAAATATGGTATCAAAAATATTTTGAAAAATCCTTAGAAATGTTGAATATGAATAAATTACTAATTATTATTAATAAATATATTATTAGTATTTACACATATATGACGTAATATTGTAAAATAAAAAGAAGGGCTATTATGAATATCTGAATTACATATTTTTTTATACCATTATACCTTAGATAAATAACAAAAAATCTTCAGAAATAAGCTAATTATTCACTTTGCAGTATTAGTTCATAAAAGCTCTTCTTAACATTTATATACTTAAAAAGTATATTTGTTTGTAAGCTTATTGTTTATTAAAAGAAAATCCATTTTTACTCACATGAACAATAATAAGCACAAATAAAATTCTATAGTAATAGTGGAAAAACAAAAATAATATAAATATTTTATACATTACATAATACATAATAATGATAATAATTCTCAATGGAAGAATAAAGAAATAAAATACTTTTTTATGTTATGAAGGTTTTTTTCTTTTTTATTATCTCACTCATACAAAATGACTGTTTTATATAAAATTTAATATTATTCTACATATTTTTATAAATAAAATATACAAATTTAATTTTTTTATAGATTGCAATAAAAATTTGTTACTGTTTCAATATATATATCCATCTTTAAGTATCAAATGAAAGAAAAATAAATGTGTTCGTATTTCTAATTCTTTTTTTGAATAACAACATTATTTACATCTTACTGGATTTTTAAAATTCTGTTATTAAAATTCTTCCATGTTTGTTAATTTGATTATTATGTATGTCAATAAATCTTCATCAATTAATAATTTACAAACTATTTATTTTAATGAATATTAATTAGTTTAGTTTTTTTTGACAAAATAATTAAAAATAGTTTAAAAATTAATATAACAATGTTCTGTAATCTAATGACGTTTATAATCTTTTCTTTTAGTTTTATTATTTCATTGAACAAATTGATTTTTCTATTCTTCAAACAGCATTTATTTATTTGAATTATATGTTGTATTAAATTTAAAACAAATATCAATGAAGCGTAATTTCTTAAAAATTGTATTTCAATTACTTTAGAAATATATGAGATATTATGTTATAAGATCTAATTGATATATTAAAAAGCAAATAAATTTAAAAAAATGTTTTAATGAATAATTTAAGTATTTTGCGAACGACATGCTTCTCACGAAAGTAATCTAGAGCTTCAACCAACTCTCAGTATTTTTTTTTAATCTAAAAAGACTAAATTTAGATTTATTTATATATTTATAGTATTTAGTACTATTGTTTGGAATTCCAGCCACCAGTTTGATCGCATATCACGGTGGGTGGATTAGACCGTACCGCCGGTTTAATCGGGGGGTGAGAGGTTAATGCATCAATTTAAAGTAAACACAATTGGTTTATAGTGACCTTTATTTAAGCAGTTGTTACAGTAGTGTTGGTGTTACTGATTGTAGTGAGAATTGTTGAGTTCGTAGTGATTAGCCAGTTGACCATGAACTATAGAACATTGTCCGGGAGTGCAAGGCTGAAGGGTGAGTTGGGAGTACTGAGCACGCGATTTAGTCCTTATTTTAAAGGAGTCTCTCCGGTTCGTGAATCATTAGGCAATGGTTTTCCAGAGAGCCCTGTCGGTCTTACGACTTTCTTAACGACTAATTAGGCAATAAAATTTGCGGTGCGTTGTTCGGCTCGCGAATGCCTAGTCGTTTGAATCGGCGATAGAATTTACTGAACGTTGTCCGGCTCGCGACTGTTTAGGCGTTTGAATCGGCGATAGATTTTGCCGAGCATTGTCCGGCTCGTGAAGGTATTGGAGACTATTCCGGATTATCGGCGCCCTTTTTAGCGGTCTGATAAGAAACAAATTGCAGGGGTCTAATCGATAGTCTTGACGCGGGCCGCAAAAAATTATGTGTAGTATTAATAAATTGCTGGAGATGCCAGTCTATGTCGTTACCCTCAAAGCGGTCTGTCTATCGTCACGTTGCTGAGGACGCACCAATAACTGGCCAGCAATATAGAATAATCAATATAAACGAATTTTACTTGTATGATTGCCTTTAATTTCACTTGAATTAGTCAACAAGACTGATTTTCTTCTCCGTTCGTTGCTCCTTATATATGACTGCGTACATTTAGCGTTGTAATTCTTGGAAGTTCTAGTGAATACTCCGAGAGCAAGCTTTAGTACGTTTGAGAAGCTTCTTTTGTTCTGCTATTCTTTTGTTGCAACTATTACGCCTTAAGCTTAATATAATGTATCGGAATCGTATTATAACAAACAATAAATTATTTTTTTGTTAGATTGTTCAATCCCCAACAACTATTTAATTGATATTTTAATTTTTATATGATTAAATATTTATTTATAAAACAATAAATTCTGATAATAAAATCGATAAGTAATAAATACAAAAAAGTAAATATTAGTCTTATGCACTTGTAGAGTATTAGAATAAGCTTCCAGATGTTCGACGGGAGGATTGCGGTCAAGTGGAAGGGATAGCGTATTTATTTAATAATTGCATGCATTTGCTTATCGTGCTGTTTATTGCCTTTTATTTTATAAACTACACAATAATAATGATTCTAAGATAGTGTTGAGAACCTGTGAGATCTTACATTCAGTGGTAGATGCCACGTGGAGTTAGCATGCACTATGTATCGAGGTAAGAGGTCGTAAATCCCTGATCCTGTTGACATACTGTGCTTGGCGGTAAATAGTTACATTGGAAGTAAGAGGTCGTAAATCTCTCGTACTTCTTCGTGTAATACCACGTGATGGTAACGTATTGAGAGACGCCTTGTTGGCTTAGTGCTTTTAGCACTTCAAGCCGTTCGCGGGAGCTTCGCGATCCAGTAAATGCCCTTCTGACTGGTGTTTTTCGTATACTTCAAGCCGCTCGCGGGAGCTTCGCGATTCATGCGTTATTCACAGAAATTCAGTTGTCTTACCGGATCCTGTGATGAGTGCTTAGACATTGCGCTTTTTATACTCGTGTTATTTTTTAAATGCAATCAGCACTCTTGACTATTTCAATCATTACGCACTTAAACAGTTATTAAATATAATGGCTGAATAGATTATCGCTGCAGAGTCTGCCTGAATTATGTAAGTACAATGCATATAACTGACTGGTATATTACGGGATTTACTGGCTGTATAGCGTAATAACTGGTAACTGATCGATTGAGAAATTTACAGTGAGCTACAAGCCTGTTGAAATTAATAATATAAATTTATTTATTGATAAACTGTAAGTTTTTGTTTCATTTATAAGAGGCCGCGAGAAAAAAATATTTTTAATTTAATTATACTGTTATTCAAGTAAATCTGTCTCATTTGTATGAAACGACAATGATAATGACAATATTTATAATATACTTTATTTAATTTTTAGATAATCTTATTTATAATAAAACTTCTTTTATAATATTTATAAATGTTAACAAGTGGGAAGTACGTACAAAAAAATGTAAAATAGACAATTTTAATTTACTACAATACTAACACATTTTTCAAACTATTTATTAGCAATATATATATATATATATATATATATATATATATATATATATATATATATATATATATCTCTCTTTTTTATTTGTATTCTTATTTAATAAACGGCAAATAATTTTGTTGTTGCCAGATTTATACTTTCTATAGTTGATTAATCTTTAAATACTAATAGTACCAGTTTATGTTTCACTATTATATAAATTCTGAAAAATTAATTTCGGAAAATAATATATTACTTTTAATTACATTAAATTTGAACTTGTTAAATAAGATTTAACTATTTAGCTACGTAATTTTATTGAATTTATGCTCTCAAATATTTTAAACGTTATTTGTCAATTCGTTTTGAAATAAACTATTACTGATGTATTTTTAACATAAATATTAGAAATTAATTTCATATTTTGGTCCTTCGAGCCGGATAAGTGGAAATCAGTGCATACATCCAATACTACCACACAAAGGAAAACAATCATAGGGTAACAACACAGTGTAAGCAGATCATTGAGTGCAAGAGAAATTCTTCACTACTGCAAGTAAAACATTACTGCTCTATCATATCATATCTATCAATGCCTGGTACGCATACAAAAACGGTTCATAAAGGACGACAATTATCGCATGTTATATATTCAATTCATGACAGAATACGAGAATATGAATGAAGACTACCAGCGAATTACTCGTCCAACAAAAAGGCGTACTATCTGCCGCACCATGGTGTGCTAAAACCAGAAATTCTACTACCAAGCTACGAGTCGTCTTTAACGGATCAAGCCCATCATCAACAGGACGATCATTAAATAACATAATGCACACTGGCGCCCACCTAAATCCAGACATTGTAGATATACTAACTTGGATATGCAAACAACAGGACTACCCCCATCATACGCTTTCCATCGACGCACACGGAATCATAAGAGTCGGCGGATGACTAATGAACGCGTCAATATCAGAAAACAAAAAACACCCAGCCATTCTCCCGAGACAATCGCAACTCACGAACCTCATAATCGAACAAGCACATCTCAGAACACTCCATGGAGGCATCCAAATTACACTTTCATACACTCAACAAAATTACTGGATCATTGGAGGACGATCAGCTGTAAAATTACACATTCTACGATGCGTTCCTTGTGCAAAACAAAGAGGAATTCGCGCCAGCCAACTAATGGGACAATTGCCCTCCTCGAGAGTAACGCCACCGCGACCATTCGCCCACACTGTGGTGGACTACGCTGGCCCTATTATCATAAGAATGTGGAAGGGTCGAGGAGCAAAAACCAATAAGGCCTGGATTCGTGTATTTGTATGCCTCGCGACCTCAGCAGTGCATATTCAAGAAGTAGGTGATTACTCAGCAAAGGGATTCATTGCAGCATATCGAAGATTTTGAAGTCGCAGAGGCATCCCACAGGTCATGCACTCTGACTGCGGAACAACGTTCATCGGAGCTGACAAGGAATTGAGAAAACTTTTCATTCAGCGCACAAAGGAACACTATCACATCACAACCACACTCATGGAAGACCATGCACAGTGGGAATTCAATCCACCTGCAGCCCCCCACATGGGAGGATAATGGGAAGCCGCAGTGAAATTCATCAAGTTCCATATCAATCGAACAACAAGAGACGCATCATTCACCATTGAAGAAATCACGACGCTATTAACTTAGATAGAGGTCATCCTGAATTCACGCCCAATACAACCATTGACGGACAACCCTGACTGCTCTGCCTCACTCCAGGCCACTTTCTCATAGGAGAACCCCTCAACACCCTACCAGATCCATCAGCAAGTGATTCAAACGTATCGATAATATCAAAGTGGCAATTTATACAGTTCTGTCTAAGTTCCAACAGTTAAGTTAAGTCAACAGTTAAGTCCGACAGTCTAAGTAACAACAAGACTAAGAGTCCAACAGTTCTGGAAGCAATGGACAAAACATTATCTACAGCAATACCTCTCAACCTCCAAGTGGCATCACCAAAGCAATACGATCAAAGTTGGATTGCTAGTCCTCATCACAGATCAACGACAACCACCATGCAAGTGGCCACTCACCAGAGTCATGAAACTACACCCTGGAAAAGATGGACTGACTAGAGTGGTAACACTAAAAACCACCTCTTCGACAATCACAAGACCAATTCACATCCTTGCAACTCTGCCAGTTCCCATCAAAGACACGTATTTTAATCATCAATGACTTGATGATGGCGGGCGGAATGTTACGGATTACAGCAGTTTTATGCGGTATACAAAGTGGGAGAGGCAAAGACACCTGTGCTTAGTTAGAAACATTTGCGTGCCGAGTCATAAACACAATTCTACGAAATCGGGAAACCTCACTACTCAAAATAGTCGAATATTACATTTCAATTCCGATTAACAAGGACCGACGAACTCTCTAAGGCTAGACTCTAGTGACGTCACTCTAATAATTAGCATAACAAGAGTGATCCAGAATTAGCCGGAATCGCAAGCCTGTACTAGGATATTTAAGGAGATACGCTTGACGCTCTCGCCCTCTTACTAGTTCAATCAAGCATTCATCCAGACAGGATCGCCATTCTACAGATCGGCTCCAGACTGCATATCGTACAGATCGACTCCAACTCAAACGTAAACCAAGCTCATTCGGCTTACTACTACAGAGATCGACTCTAACACACGTAAGCTACGCTATTACACACGTTCTTACAGCTCACTAATACACGGCTCCCGTCAACTACGTAAGCAACAACACTAACATACAGCCAACCACCTATATCCCGGTATACAGTATGAGTATACCTCCCACCCGTCAAGCTGTGACGTCACACGGACATCCTCCCACCACCAGACCGCTACAGCGCTCATCCTACGTCAGCGGCTAAGGAGGCACCATCGCTGCCCCTACTAGCGCGAGTCTCCCACTACTACTACGAATTATAAGGAAGAGAATCAAGCTCCAGGCTATCAAGAATACACTTACAAAATTCTCGTCGCTAATATTAATTGAAGAAACTCTTATCCATTCATTGTATCATACATTCATTTCGACATACATAGATCACTGACTATTTATTATATTTATTAAATTCAATGAAGAGAAAGACACTACACTCAAAAGGCAATGTTGAATTATTGCATTGCCCCTTCCATTTGCTAGCAAGCCTCCATCCACCATCACAGGGAAGCTTTTAGTCTGATCCCAGACATTTTGGTTATATTTTGGATATATTTTTATAATTTAAAGTGTTTTGAAATAGAAGGGGTTACATATATTATATTTAATAAATATAACATACCTAAATTCAATTATAAATTGACAAACGAGATAACCAAATATTATTGCATCATTGGCCTCAACATCTAAGTGTGGAATACCTAAATTACAACTATTCCAAAGCTCTTGTTTGTATTCATCTAATTTCCATGCTGCACTACCAATATCAAATAAAATTATTTGTGGGTTACCATCTACTAGCCACCTTCCTGTGATTATCTGAAAATACATTATTAAATTAACAAAAAAGTCATTTAATACATATTCAAAAAGTTAACGATTTAAATCTCCAGATTATGTATAAAAATTAAAATTTTATATAATGAAATTCATTGCAGTTCATTAAAACTATAATATTTAAAAAATGGTCTAGAATTTTATAAATAGATATTTAAATATTAAATTATAAAAATTATTAATTGGAATTTATTAAATATTTCATTGTATGTTTTTTTTTAAATAATATAATTTTAAAGTAAATAAAATATTTGTATAATATAAAAATTACTGATTCCTTTTCTCCATTAATTTTATGTTTTCACATTTTACATCAAATTTACGCATAAAGATATTAAACAATTACATATTTTTAAATTAAAGAATATATAAAGCTTAAAAATATTATTAATATTCGTTATTTTATTATGCGTATTATTGCATATCAGTGTTTGCGATAAAGTATATATACAATTAATGATCAATTTTAAATTTACAAATAATAAACATTGACATAATATTGAATACTACGCACTACATTTTACCTTATAAAAATTAGCAACCAGAAAATGTATAACAAATGATATCCGATATTTTTGTACTATTACTTACTTACGAATATTTACTTGAAATAATTTTTTTCTTATTATTTATATTTCCAAAATATTTCAACCTATATGTAAATAGATATGAATTTACTTATATACTGCACATGAATTGCGTGTATCTATTCTTCTAACATACAAATCGATTTATTTTTACAATAAATTTTAAACATTAAAATATTTAACCATTTTAAGTTGGTAATTAAAATTATACTTTTATATTATTCCCTTTTATTTTTATATGTAATTAGATCTGTGTATAATGAAATTTATACATTCAAATAGATATTACATACTGACATATACATATTTTTTGGTTAATTTGCAAATGAAAGTTCATAAAAAATGAATAAAAAGAATGGCATAATATTAATTCATCAATTTTTTAATATTGAACCAGAAATAAATATACGAATAAAGTTAGACGAATAAAGTATATATATGTATATATGCTGATTTCATAAATTTTCCTTGTATTAATATTCTATTAGTCTACAATTTAGTTATACCTTTTCAATTAATATTTACTGCTTGAATGCCTGTTTCTTATAATAAGATTTGAGTTGTGTTGTAACATATTCAATGTACGTAAATTATACAGCTCTTTGGTTTCTATATTTGTACAATAGGTTATGTATGTGGCCTAATGCTTTGGATGTATTGCAATTTTATAAAAAGTAAGAATGGAAAAGAAATTTTATGATTTCAAATGAGATATTTATGTAATCCGTTACATACTAATATTTTAATATATATAATATTATATAATAATAAAGTAATATATATAATATTAGTAGTCAATTAAACTATTAAATGTTATAAAAATTTTCAAGTCTTGTATATATATTCAGTATTCAATAAATTATGAACTAGGATTATTGTAAAACCGTACAAGCATTAAATGTTCAGTTATATAGTTATTGAAAGTTTATTAAAATCATGTCATTCTTCTATTCCAAAATTGTTATTAATAGTTTTTTCTTAATTTTAGCATATATTTAAGCAAAATCTAAGAATTGAAAATATGTAAGATACAAATAAATTTTGTTTTTAAATCTTGAAGGGGTTCACGTCAAATTCATGGTCAGCAAATGTATTTAAGGGGCGCAATTTTCAATACTTATTTACTCTCGATACTTAACTCTCTTAATACTTATCACTCGTGATATTTAACTGTCTTGATAGTTTTTCTTTCGTAGTATTCTCGTGATATTACTCTTTTTTGAAGTGTCTCTCTTCTAGTAATACTCTCTCAATAACCATCCAACCGGCCTAGATAAAACAAGTCGGAACGACGAGTTGCATTTTGTGCAAGTATATATATACATATATAACTTAATTCGAGAAGACATTTATGTATTTGTGATTGTCAGCACATTCATTCCAATAACTTTTGTTCCAATCATTGAAACCAACAATTATGTTTCTGTTATATAAATAAAATTTTATATTCTTATAATTTTTACAGTCTTTTTTAATATAAAAGAATCTTTCTATTGAAATTATTTTAACATTACGATGTCATCGTGGATATTCTATTATATACACAAAACTTTTATTAAAAGTCTTTAGTAAGGCAGCACAATAACGTAGTAATCAAATAAGATACTTCAAGATAGAAATAACAGTAGGTACAATAGATGAGAAATTAGATCCTTTATCAAAGAAGATAATATTTATTGTAAGGAAAAAAATAAAATGACATAAGTGTATATCTTTCTATTAAGCCAACTTTATAAGATCTCCAATGTTGAGTAGGAACAAAATACCGATATTTTGTTATTATTAGTAGACTCATAAATTTTTGGATTTTTTAATTTGATCGATCAATATAAGTTTATGACATAAAAAATCTTTTGAATAGAATATCTCTAACTATCAATATGAACAAAACATCAAGTTTCCAAAATAAGTTTGAAAAGATACTTATAAAAATATATTTTAAAACAAATCTACGATTATAACTTATCATAATAAATATAATTAATATATATAATCAAATTCTCGGAAAATTATAATCGTGCTAGCTCGCGAAATTTCTCTATCATTCTAAAGCCTTTGCTTACGAACATCAAGTAATGTTTATCTAGTCTCCGCATACCAACGACGATTGGATTTCTCCAACATTCTAAAGCTTGCTTTCCTAGAATTCTCGAAACTTCTAAACCTTTAGTCTAACTAAACTGTCGCGTAGATATAAAGCAAGCACGCGACAAGTGAAGGCTGTCTCTCTCTTAGTGAAGACGCTATGCCACGGAACACAGTCTCTCTTAGCAGGATAACTATGGAACAGTCGCTCTCTATCAGCAGAGCCGCCACCGACTGAACAAACCTTCAGTTTCGTGCGCGTATTCAACGAGTTGCTATTATCGGAACCGCCACAAAGAGAACACGATATTACTACTACCGCTACTGCAGGCTATCGCTACATTTTGGATCAAGGCTCTCTCATTTACCGGGAACAATCTCGACTTGCTAAAGTGCATGCTACTTCCACGTGTAAGACTACTAGGGAACGGCGAAATCTCAACTATTCTCACCATCAACGGAGATTCATAATTGTATATTTGTAAATTAAAACTCAATAAATAACACGAAGAGCAATTGTGTTGATTACTGAATTGAAGCATTAACCTCTCACTTATTCACACTGTTCTATGAGTAAAATGGTGGACATGGTTTAATCCAACCATCTTGGTCCTTCGACCACCGGGTGACTAGAATTCCAAACAGAGGAAAATATGGGCTATTGATAAATACATGTACAGTGAGGAATTAAATGTAAAAAAAAACATTACAAACAAATATGCAAGTAATTAAATGATGCGAGGAATCAACTGTAAACAAAAAACATTAAACCAAACACGAAATAAAAAAAACAAAACGAAAGAGCAAATGAGATTTAAATAAGCTTACCATCGATAAAATCGATTACACATAATAGTACGATAAGACAACATTGATGACAACATATATTAACAGCTTGTCTAATAATAAAGTATCCGGCTCGAAGGACTAAAATGTCTACATTTAGAGTAAGCTCCCAGATAGTTGAGGGAGGAATGAGAGCAAATGGAAGGGATAGTGCATGTATTGAATAATTAACACATTTATTTTACTTGGTGCTTATTGCTGTTATCCCGTTAAATTACACTATAATGATTCAAAGTTGATGATGGAATCTTAGCTATCTTGTTGTTCCTTTATGGCTGCCACGTGGTGATAACGTGGACTACATGTATAGGCAGCACATCGTAAATCTCCTGGCCCTCTTTATATGGCGTGCGGGGTGGTGTAACTGTACACGTAGCAGTGTGAGGGCGAAAAATTCCAGCTCTTCTTCGTGTAGTGGCACACAGCTAGCGATTAACTTATTGCTTACCTTGCAGGTTCTGCAGGTGTATTCTTGGTGGCACTTAATCTTGATATGCAGATATTGCCGCGTATGGCGCCTTGTTGGTCTATCTTGTGGAAACTAAACTTGCCCCTTGTACTTCTATAGATTGTGTGCGCTCGGTCGCTCTACAGATCTTTGCCTCGTGAGGCATATTGTAGGTTTTGCTTTGTGTTGTGCTCTGTGCGCCATTGTTTCCTTGTTCCCTTTTTCTTTTTTTGGCACTGCTGAGTGTGTATTTTGCACGTATTATGAGTAGGATACGACTAGCTTTTGCCTCTTATTCTTGGGCTTTACTATTTATGTCTATATCCTTGTCGTTTGGCGTTCTTTGTAAAAAGAAGCAGTTGCGCCTTGCCGACGTCATTGTTAAAAGCATTCTCTCGACCACCGCATGGTCTTTACGAATTATCTTTCTCTTGGCGTCTCCCATCAGATCACCTCTTACTTGCATCCTCACCATGAGAACTTGTTGAAGCATTCTTGCTTCACTATCCGAGCTATATTGTAGCTAGATTTGATAACAACGTATGAGTTATATGCCGTATACTGCAATTTTATCGTGTAACATATTTTATAAGTTTTATAGATGTCTTAATGACTTGTTTTCGACAACTCTGAATCATGTTTTTGCCAGATGCTTAACGACTTGGGTATTCCAGAAGTCTCACGACTGGGGAAGAGTTCTTACAATTTCGAACATTCCGCCCGCCATCAGCAATTCTATTGATGATCATTTTCCCCCTTTAGAAATTGGTAGTACTGCCAGCATGCATAAGTCTTACCATAGGGGTCCAAGTTGTTTTCAATGTTGCAACTTTCGTCAGCCCGTCCTTACCTGGTTTTTATTGTTAAGGGTCGGCATAATCAACTCCTGTATGTTTAAACGGTCTTGATGGCGTGATTCTGGAGAGTGGCAATTGACTTATTATTTTTTCTTACAACGAATTCCTCCTTGTCGTACACAGACAATGCATTGCAATACGTGTTTCTTGACTTCAATATTGTCAGCGTATTTATGCCAACGTGAGTTGTGTATACTGTCAGGCGGAGGAACACATGACCAGTCGGCAGACATGCCTGTGATTGAAGGATTTTAAGTACATTATAACAATGGACAGCGTAAATTGCCTTTATCCAAAAAATCCTTAATTTTTTCCAATTAGTTATTGACATCTGGTCTGATTGGGTGCAGAAGCTTCACGCTTTCTCCTCAGCCGTGCAATAAATCTTAGGCATAAGGCTGTTGTTCTCAATAACTTATCTTTCTTATCTAACTTATCGTTTTTATAATTTCGATTACAGTTTCTCTTACTTTTTCTAAATTATAGCATATAGCCACTAAAAATAATGCATTTATAAAAAGATATATAAATTTTGCAGCCATAATTTGAGTGACTGAGATTTATAGATTCTATTTTACTTACCTTAAATCCTTGATCACGTAAAATCGTAACAGTTTTATGCAAAGAATTATTTTGAGGAAAATCTGTTTCTTCGACTTCAGTTTTAGCACATGATTCTTTATACGGGCCTAATAAGCAATACTGATCACCCATTTCTTCAGTAGAAATATAAGCTTTTGACCTTATTACAGTATAAATTCCTCCGACTAAACATAAAAATATTCTAAAAATAGTTTCTTTAAATTTCTAATCTTGTTATTAAAGTACTACCTTTATTCGCTGCCTCCCAAGCTGCCTCGAAGCTCCATCTATTTTCGTGTTGAATCTTATAATTAGAGTTCATATTATCTAATAACTCATGATGGTTATCCAATCGATAAAACCGTTTGCTGGCATTACGAGACATTTAATTTTCAAAATTTAGTACACGAATTAGTTTATGATCACTAATTTGAAAACTAAAAGTAAAATAAAAAATACTGTGTTTATATTATATTTATAAATAATTACTAATAGTTGTTAATAAATAAATGTATAAAAGCAAAATTATTTTTAAAGAATATATTATTACGATTGCAATGGTTATTGATTTTGGTTAAAATTAATCTTACATTAATATAATATATATTATTTTATTTGTTGCCTTCAAATAAAATAAAAATAATGAATTGTTTATATATATATATATAAATGGATAAGCTCTTTAAATTTAAAAATTAATTTTAAGTAATATAGTGGATTGATAGTAGATAAAAGTAGATAAAACTTTGAATCATGTCAAACATAAGGGATTGCATAAAAATCTACATAATAATTATACAAATATTTTAATATTATTTGTATCAAATGTTTGTATATAATTAAATTATATTATAGTACATAACACAACACAGTAAATTACTATTATAGTATATTCGAATTTGATTACTAAACCAAAATGCCTAGACCGTTTGTATAAAAATTAATTCCACTAATCCGGCTCGTCGAACCAAACGTGTAGAATTAATTAAGAAACCACTAGATGTTGTGTGGGAGAATGCGTGGGCAAGTGGAAGGGTTAATACAATGATTCAATAATTAACACAATTCTTACTACTGTTTATTCCATTTATTTTCAATTTCTTTCCAATTAGGTGATGATATGATTAACTGTGAAATAAGATAGATTATAATTTATTAAGTATTACCATTTGAGAGGTTATGATCGTTGTTGTGCTCTGAATGAACACTACAATTCTTGTTAGTTTACTAATATTTTACTAAAAACTATAGTCATTCATAAATAGTAATATAAAATTTATTTATTACATATATAATTAAATATAAATATATATACATTTTATACAGAAATATTCATTACTGAAAATCTATTACTTTTAATTAATATTATATTATAGTTTAAAATTTTTGGACAAAATAAATTTATTGTGTTTTATAATTTCTTTTTTATTTACACAGAATTATTTTGACTGTTTTACAGTATAAAATTATAGCATTAATAAAAATATATTTATTATTGAATTTAAATTGATTATATATAATCATGAAATAAGTTTTATACACAAGTAATTACCGCCTTTCCATAAATCTATCTTTTTTCATTAAAAAGAACAACTTTTAATTGTACACCTTTCTAATATTCTCTTATAATTTTCTTATACGTTAATATTAAGGTAAGGAAATGATTGGACATAAAGATCAAAAGGACCATAAGAATTTATTCAAATATAAAATATTCACAAATATAATTTTTGAACGTATGAAAATATTTAAAAGCGTTAAATTTTCGAAATTCCAAGAAAACGACATATTCTTTTAATACATTTTATTTAGTTTATTCAAAATTCTCGTTAATCGGAATTATTTCTAAAACAAAATTTTAAATAAATTTACGCTTTACAAACTTTGAATATAAATTATTTTCGAAATAAAATTAAAAGGTTTCATATAGTATCTGTTACGAATTGAAACCGTTGAAAACGGAATACAAAAGTGGGAGAAGTATGAGCACGCGAACAGTTGTTTATAAACACTATACGACTATAATTTCGAAGAATTATAACAATGAAACTTACAAAAACTATGTCTATTGACGTCACGACAAATACCGGCAAGCAACAGACACCAGATCGCTACCGGCGCCTAAAAATTACCACTAGAATATTTAAGGGCTGCGTTTTCCACGCGCCAGTTAGTCTTTGTCTTAACTTAGCGTAACAATGATTACGCAGTCAACACGAAGAACTCACACTCGAGTCTTTCTCTGTCGTAGTCTGTCTAGCGTAATAACGATTACGCAGTAACACAGCAAGTTCACTATTCAGTCTTCAAGCTTCTTTCTACAGTCATCACTCACTGTAGATACACACGTACGTAAATGCTCAAACAGCAAGCAATCTAATAATACAATAGTAAAGCCACATTCTCAGAATCCGTTAATCAAACTTAAACGAATAACGTGCTAGTGCTAACTTAATCAAGAGTAAAAGTATCGAATCATACTGCATAAATTAACGGATCACACCGACCCTAAGGTAACAGTAAACGGTCCCCCTTTAGCAAGCTTCGGTGCGACAGCAGCAGCTCTTTTGCGCCGACACTAAGGCAGTTGCAACCCAATCCTACTAAAGCAGCAGCGGTACGACAGCGGCGGCTCTCACGCATACTACTACAGCGGCACTTCTCGGAAGGGAAGGAGTCACTACCCACATCACGGAGAGCATACACACTCTCTTCAGCACGTAAAATTATTGAAGAAACTTCCCCAATTTATTCGCTCACACCTTCATTCATTCACTTATCATATCATTCACTTATTAAATATAATAATACAATAAATAGATCATTATCTATTTATTGTATTATTATATTTAATAAAGGAAAGACAAGAAACACTGAATGTAGTATTGAATAATTGCTTTGCTCCTACCACTTGCCAGCAACACCTCCACCCAACATCAAAAGGAGGTTTTTATTCTGATCCCAGACAGTATCATTATATAAATGATCTTATTGTATTCATTATATAACTTAAATATTGTACTCCTAAATATTAAATTAATTTAATTCTTTTATTTTTATATTTTATTCATCATTTATGTATATTTTTAAATGTGTAATATAGAAAAAATTAATTTTTTTTTTTTTTTTTTTATGAATGTATATTTTTTATGTTATAAGTTATCTGGGTGAAATAGAAAAACAGTAATTAAATAGTATACAAAAGTTAAATTTATTATATTGCTATTTTCCAACTTATTAACATTTTTATATTTGATATCTCATATTTTAAATGGCACTCAGGCAAATTAATTATAATTATACAAAATTAATTATATATTTATAGATTCCCAGATATTATTTTTTATTTTTACTGTTTTTACTTTTTTTTGTATTTTTACTTATTTATATATATCAGTTAATTCTTACATTAGATGATTTAAATAAATATATAAATAGAAAATTAATAATCTGACAAAAAATGTAAGATATTTTAAATAATCAATTGATAAGAAAATTAATATAATATATAAATTATTTTTACACAATAGATACATTAATATTTTTTCAAATCAGTTTATAAATGTAGATACCAATTTAATTTTTTAGTTCAGTCTTATTTTGGTAAAAAAAAACAAATAATAATTCTGTAAACAATTTTTGTATAGAAATATAAATTAATAAAAAATAATTAGTTCTATTAACTATTAGATGTGCTGGAATATCTGTTAGTATTTGTAAGCCTATTTATTATATATATTGTGTTCAAGATTACGAGAACCTTTCGCGAGTGTTAGAAATCTGAAGACTCCAGTCGTTAAAAATGTACGATAAGCCATTGTTATCAAACAGCAGCAAAAAACCGTTTTAGCTAAACATCTGGGAAACCCCAGCTCATTAAACATCTGGAAATAATCGTTACGCGCAAAAATTTCAAATCTAAATATTTGGAATTCCAGCCACCAGAATGATCCGAAGACCAAGGTGGATGGATTAGACTATACCACCGGTTGCAGAAGCCTGATCGATAATGCCGGTATAATGTGCTAGCGAAACATAACAGTAGCCTTTGTTGCTTTAATGTGCTATAGCGCGAGCTATCAGATAGTATCAGTGCCCTCTTCCGCGGTCTGACAATAATCAAGTTACAGAGGCCTGACCGATAGTGCCAATGTAATGTAGTGTAGCACGAGATACCAGACAGTATCGGCGCCCTCTTCTACGGTCTGACAATAATCAAGTCGCAGAGGCCTGACCGATAATGCCGGCGCTGAGTCGTAATTATATGTGATACAAATAGTTGCTGGAGATGCCAGTCTATCTCGTCGCCCTCAATGCGTTCTGACTAGAGTCACGTTGCGAAGCGCGCACCGATATCTGGCCAACAATAGATAATAAATAATGTAAACATATAGGTATACCTTGCACAGATTCCCGTAGACAGACGTGTAGAACTTTAATTGTTATGACTTGCACTATTTTCACTTGGACTTACTCGACAGACTGATTTTCTTCGTCGTGTGTTTCTCCTTATATATGATTTCGTACATTTAGAGTTTGTAATTATTGGAAATTCTATCAAATTCTCAGAAAGCAAGTTTTAATAGATTCGAGAATCTTCCTTTGTTGGTATGCGGATACAGCATAAGGCTTAAATTTCATCGAGAATTTTCGTAGCGAATACTTCAAATATTATACAGTATTACAATATTATATAGTCGGCAGCTCCTCTTGGCGGGAAAATCACGAAAAGACTACTCTCTTGCCGATGTGGCCACTGTGGAAGCCAAACAGTTTCTGAAGACGGAAGACACAGGCGCGGTCTGATAGACGCCTAAGACAGCGGATTGCTCTGATTGGAGAAACCTGAGGCAGAGGCGTTCACGAAGCGGAGACGTTTGGTAGGAGGCCTTATAAGTGGAGACGACACAGGTACAAATGCTGTCTAAGTGAGGAAGCAAAGGAAGAAAGAGGAAGGCCCCTACTCTTGATATTATAGCGATCAAGCTGTAAATACGGCCACGATGGGAGGAAGACGCGTTACTTCTGTGCTGAAAATAAAGGGTGTTTGACACTATCTCCTTCCCATAAAGAATACGTCAGACTACAGAACATACATTCCCTAATAAAAACTGTGCTTAAACATTGCTGATCCTTGCAAAATCAGCAAGAACAATTCATCGCCATCAACAAAGAGCATTCCGGATGGTGAACTACTCATCTCAAGATCAAATCAAGGTTACTGCATCGCTGTGAGTAATCAAAGCGTGTGCAAACTAAATTGCTAATCCTTACAAAATTAGCAAGCTAATATTGCGTTACCAGTCGTTACAGAACTAGCATGACGTTATTATTATATAGTATAAAACACATTCCCTAATAAGGAGTGTGCATAATCAATTGCTGATCCTTACAAGATCAACATCATCATCATCAAGGGGCATCTCGAGTAGACAACTTATTCAACACAAGATCTGTTTGAAGCAACTGTAACTACGTGACTGAATGTAGTGTATACCTTTCCATAACATATAAATCCAATCAAACAATAGTGTAACTGTAAATAAACCATATTTTCGAAGAAGCGCATACTGTATTTCTACAGCCCTTCCACTTAACTCCTTCCCAAGAACCCGCTAGGTCGGGTGATAAATTAAGGCTATCTAAACTGTAGCAATTCGAGCCAAGAAATTAAACAGTTTTGAACATACGGTATTATAAAATATATTATTTCATAAAATTATTGCACTATGTATATAACACAATGAATTATATTTATAATTAATATTAAAATAATTTTTACTAAAATATAAAGTAACAGTATTTTCTTTAGTTATGTAATTATTTTTACATAATTTGGAATAATTCTGGACCCCGTTACAACGAAAAGTATAGTCTATTTCACTTCGCTAACTCTCCAGTTTAAGAATGCAGACTAAATACTTGTTTGCAAAACCAGCGTTTATTTAACGCAAAGCTGGACAAAGAAAAAACATGCTAGATGAGCCGATTAATATAAGTAAATGTGATTAACAAGAACAATGAATTACATTAGAACAATATATTTACCATATATTTACATTGAATATGAGTTAATAAATTCAAGTGATATTTAATGTTCAGCAGATAGTTTCATATAATCAAGTAATATACGGGTACATGGGCACTATATAATAAGTGTTTATTATTTATATAAATTATATTAAATTTATATAATTTTTTATTTTGTGAATAGTATTTGAGTGCTATTATCCTCAACAATTCGTTGTTTTACTTTGAACTTTATCTTAAACGTTCTTTTTCCATTTGTTTTTTTTTTATTGTTCGTTTCCATTTTAGATCTTTTATATAGAATTCTGAACTTTTGTTTATTTACTTTTCACCGATTTTCTTTTTTTTAACATGTTAGACGTCTAAGCTTTACGACGCATTTTTTCTAGATTATAAATATTTCGTCTATTATTTGATATACTAGTTTTCTGCGAAATTCTACCTACTTTCACTTCTTGTGTGTTATGTATCTTATTTCTTTAACCCTCGTCAACTACATCTTATTACAATTAAAAGAATTGTAACTTAAAAAGTCAAATAATAACATAATTGATTAAATAAAATGTTTAAACTATGCTTGTTCATATAAATAATATATATATATATATATATATATATATATATATATATATTATTTTAATACAATTTTAAAAATTGAAGATTTAAACTATGATACACCTTATGTTATTTCCATGAAATAATCTATTTATCTAAATTCGATTGAAATGTTCTTTTATCATGTAACAATCAATTTAAGAATTAAACATTTTATAATTTCCTTCTATCAATCATATTTCTTTATTAGGTGGTTAAACTATTATCCTAATTATAATTAAGTTTTAAAACTATGATAAACAATATCACTTATCTGTTATATACATATATAATTCATATAGCATAATTCATAAAAGCATTTAACAATTACAAAAATTGTAATTTCTAAATATATTAGAATTCTTTTATTAGTTTCGTAATGTGTTTAATATGCAAATATTTAAATTATAAATTTATATACTTTTTATTTAATTTTTATTTAATTTTTACTAAAATGAAATATAAATGAAGATTAATAAATAATTATAAATTACATATCTCTTTAATATATATATATATTTATATATATGTAACTGGATAAAAATAATTCGATAATAATTTTAGTAATATTAGTTAATTTTTTAAATTTGATTATGATCTATTAATAATAAATTAAATTTTTAGTTATTTCATGGACAGCTTATCTCTACTTAAAAATTAAAACAAAATTATTTAATACAATATATAAATATGATCAAGTTAAAATCAAATTATAATATAATTATAATTGATTTTAAAATAATTAATTAAAGCAGTTAAAAAATTTCAACTATTATTTCCTTTATATGATATCAAATATTTAGTATCAATTGTAAACAGTAGTTATATAAATATATAAAATAATTTATTTAATAATTAATATTTTAATATTCAATAATATTAAGTTTGTTTCTATATGTTTAAAGGCTAAACAATGAGATAATTAAAATCAATTTAACAATTTAACAATATTACTAATATCTTTAATCTGTATTGGATTTATTGAACGTCCGTAGAACTAGATTGCAACATTAACATTGTAAATAAATTTAATAGTGGATTCATAAATAATAACTAAAAACATTATTATAATACACATATTTAATTGCTTGTGAGTTCATTTTCATAATTCATTTTATAAGTTGATATTATTAAAACTTGTTCAACATTATTAATAGCAATATAAACATTATAAATTTATTTGTAGTTATTTATAAACTAACTTTATAAAAATATCAATTTCAAAAATCAATTCAAAAATCAAAAAAATAATTTAATTCTATTTATGAAATAATATGATATTAATTAGCTGGTATTATAACTAATAATAAATGTTTAGTAAAATTCAACACATTCTATTCATCGACCTATAAATTGTCATACAAAATTAGTAAAAATATTTATTGGTTCACTATTAATTATTCACCATTCATCAATTACATAATATTTCCTTTAATAATATACTAAATTAAGAAATAATAAAGAAAATGTAATAAAAATAAATTGCTCAAATAATTATTACCTTATTTCAAAAGTAATCAAATAAAAATTAAATATTTTATACAAATGAAAGAAATATAACTGAATATGAATTATGAAATAAAAGATTTTTTATACATTAATACGTGCACGTGGAAGATTAGCAGGTTACTAATTTATATGTATTGAAAATAATCACATGATCATTTAATGATATGAGTTAATTCTACAGTGTTTGTTAGTTATTAGCAATCAAATTAGCTTTCAGTTATCTAATTTACGCCTTAAAAAAGTTACTATAACGTCTCACTTAAATTTGTTTAAATGCATTTTAATAGAAAAAATAAATGAATAATACTAATTTTTAGTGGACAATTTTTTAATATTTATAAATTTCAAATTTATAAAAGATATTAATTTAGCAATTAATTTAGTTTATATTTATACATTTTTAAATATTAAACCACAAATGAAAGTGTTACGTAGTAATCTATATTTATTAATGGAAAATTAAATAATGAGCTATTTAGTCGTATTATAATTGCAATACGTTGATTTATTTGGTTAATTGGATGTTATTGCAATAAACTATTAAAGCGTATCGCTTTTTCAGTAGTTAAAAAAATTTATTTCTAATTCAATTTAATTTATAATATTTATATCTTTAAAATGCTGCTATTAATGAGTTTATGTTGATAAAAATAATTTTTTTAGTAAATTTTTTAGTAAATTTTGACTTTATTCTACGACATTAGGAACTATTTATTAACTTATAAAGCGAATAAATAATGGTAGTTATTGCCAGTTCCAGAAATTAATGATTTATATTTTAAAAGTCCAAAATTATTCTAAAGAAGTATCGACTACGAATTTATTACCAAAATATTGGATTTTAAATTCTTTAATTTAATATAGATTGTATTAATTAATAAACTATGAATGATTTAGTTTCTCGACTAAGGTTATATAAATAAATTCTTGAACTTGTTTTTAGTTTAATAAATATATATGTATATTTTAAATATATTAAATTATTTTATATTATATTAAAAATACGTATATATATATGTATTTTTATACAAATTATGAATTTAAATTTTTTGTTTTAAAAAGAAAAATTCAACTTTAATAGTTTATATGTAAGGAATGCTGATTTTTAAATCTATCTCCATTCAACATCAGTATGACGTTTAATAGTACGGATTACATTACTTAAATTGTACAGCTAGTGGATATACGTTATTGCTTCATAACCATGTAAATTGTGAGATTGGTTTTAAATCTTCTAAGATCTACTGCACTTAGGAAAAACATAAATTAAATAAATGCTATATATTACATGGTTGTTATATGTATTGGACTTATTACGAAATTCTTTTAATTCAACTAATTCGTTCAATAACATTTACATATTTCCTTATATAAAATCAATAAAAACAATGAATATATTTGTAATTATTTTATACAAATTTAAATATTAATTATGCGATATGACTATATAAAATAATTATAAACGAAGAAAAAGAAAGTAAAAAATTAAATTTTTCTTCAGAATATACTAAGTATAACTTTAATAGAATCAACATTATTAATAATGAAAGAGAAAATTTTTATAGATTTTTCTCTGAGGATTTATATTTTAATAATTTATAATCAATTATTTTTGTTTAATACATAATCCCTTTTTACTTATTTATATATTTTTTATTAAAGCTTCCCGATTTTTTATTGATTCCGAAATATTCTTTATATACTAATTATTTATTTTACTTCGATTCTATTCCATTTCATCATAAAACTTCTCATATAGATCTCTTGATTCTTTACTTATCATACAATTCATTATTGATTTTATTAATTTATTCCCTTATTAATCCCATTCGCTTTTTATTTATTTTTATATTCGTTATGTTTTTTTATTCTTACATTGGCATTTATTTTTTTAATTGTAAGATTATATATAATTCGGTGAATTTTTTCTTGAGATTCAGTTATTCAATAGTATTTTATTAAATGTTTAACTGCGTCGAATATCTACAAATTGCAAAAATTATACAGCACCATTTCATAATTACGTATTAAGAAAAAAAAGAATTAAAAAGGAAATATCAATAGCGTATCTGTCTAATTTTATAAATAAAAAAAAATAAACATAATTTTATGAAATATTGAATATCAAATATATAATATATTAACTTAAAAATCTTAAAAACATCACAATAGAAACGAATTTTTTAATAATACGTATTATTCTTAATTTTAGAAAATGCTTCATTTAACGAATGTCTTGTATATTAAAAAAATTAATACTTATAAACTCGTACTATATTAAATATATTTATAATTGACTTCTTTTTGAATCACGATTTATATGTTAAGTTACGCTAAGCTATAAAATGGAAAATATTTTCCAGTTATGTTTGGAGATCCTAATTTTGAACAATATTCCAATTAACAATATTATCAATAAAATGTAATACTTTATTAGATTAAAATTATTAAAAATAATCGACGTATTGTGTCATTCAACAGATAAAGTGATGGATTTATAAATTTAAGTATTTTTGCATTAGTATAGTTATTATACTACTAGACACAATGTATTAATATCTTATCAATAGTGCAAGAGGCTGTATCAATGAGTGGCACAATGACAATCGAATCACTCATAAAACGATCACAATAGTGCGAGAGTCCGAAATAAAACATTTTGAACAACAACTGTTTTAAGAGATTACGACAGAATGAGATAAATAGATCACCTGCACTTTAGTGCATTATATATTTATAGTATTTATTAATAATTATTAATATTATGTCTTGTCATTTCCCTACGCTAATTTACTCTATTCTTATAATAATAATAATAAAATTAAAATAATAAACGATAAATTCAAATATATATACATATATTTCAAATACTAAATTTATTCCCTTAGTAATTCTGAATTATTTAATTTTTTTTATATAGTATAAAAAATAGAAACGATACATGATTAATATGCAATTCTATATGTCGAAAATTAGACAATAAATCTTGTTAGAAGACCTTTAAAAGTACATCTGTTTGAGATCTTAAATCACGGTGAACAATTATTTAATGTGCAATATGTACTTCAGATAATGCAGTAAATATATTAAATTATAAAAAGTTAAATATATTAATTGTTATTTTTGCAATATTCATTCATAAAGTTTCACGATTATGTATTTCTATTTAATATGGGGCAACTGAAAAATAAATAAAATAAAAATATTTAGTCATAACAATATTCAAAATGATTTCTTAATATTAAATTATATTAATTAATTATAAATTAATTTCGATTTTATGTATTTTTTAAACGAATTCTTGAAAGTACGAGCCAAAGAAATATTCTGTTTACAAAAAGTAAAATGGATCTCAAAAGGATACATAAATGTTTTAAATCGAAATAAATTGATATGTATAATGATAAAATATATACATTTGTATTGAAATAAGAAAAATGAAATAAATTAATTTTGATCAATAAATATACGTATTCTTGAGTATGTTCAACATCTTTGAAACTATCATGTAACAATTTATTTTGAAAGACAATTCTGCATACCTAGTATGTTAAAATACTTATAAAAAGTATCAATATAAGTTTATACTATTAGAAATATAAAATTTTACTTTTAATTCATATTTACTTCTCAATATGAAAACATTTGGAAATCGTTTTCTTTTATACAATGTAAAGACCAAAATATTATTTGTCCTTACAATCGTCGCATTGTACTTAGTTACTATTCAAACTTTATTAAAATTTCGTTTGAGTAATTTTCGTCCGAGTTGTTATCAAAATCTTATTATAGCGTGATAATGTTATTTAAATAATACTCGCTACATTAATTTTTTATACTGATTCTGAAAATAACTAGTTTTTCATATTAAATTAAAAAATGTTGTATATATAAATAATTCATCAATAGTATTAATTTTCTTATTCTTTATTTTCTATACATTAACGTTTTTTATTCAGGTAAAAAATATAATTAAGTAGAGTTAGAACTATTTTTTATCATAATTAAAACAAATTATTTGAAGACTAATGAAATTTTATTTTATATATTTACAAATGATTTAGTTACAAATTATACTTCTTGTACTGTATAACATTAAAATATTTTCCAATAATCTTATTTAATAAATATTATTTTGTTGAATTCAACAGTGGATATAAATACGAATATATTTTATATTAAAAAAAATTGAAATTAACTTAAGTACAAAATATTTTATTTTGGTAGTTTTTTAATACATTTCATTTCATGGCAAAGCCATACAATCGTGCTTAAAAGTACTAAACTACCAGATTGATGGGCAGTTGCAGAATGAGTAGAGACATAACTATAAAGTGTAAAGATACCCAAGAATGCCTGCATATATGTACTAATGAGAACTGCTAGGATTGCAGTAGCAGCACGTCCACACAATTTGTATTTTTTAGATATTATAGCCAAATATGTAACTAAAAATAAGGTTGATATAGCCTGAAACATAATTATTTTAGTTAGGATAAATATATTCGATAGAAAATATAGCTATGATTTACCAAAATTCTATGGTCAAATTGCACCGTAACAGGATTTTCTGTAAAATTTTTGATCAGTGGCTTTAAAAATAAAATATCATCAGGAATCCATTTATTAGACATTTTTGGAAATGTATTATATATTAATCCAGCATCTAATCCAGCAACAAATGCACCAGAAATTATTGTAAAAAAAATTAGACACTTGCTTGAATATGCAATCAATTTAAGTCTTTTTAATAATTTTAATTGTTTATCGACTGATTTTAATTTAAATATATTAAAGCCATTAGTTTCATTAGGAATAAGATGATCTAAAGCTGTGTATAGAAATTTAGTGTATATAATAATAGCTAAGCCCAAATGGGCTGCTAATCTATATTGTGAAACTCGTGGTATATCTGAAGGCTTCATAAAATCATTTTCTAATCCTGATTTAACCATATACCAACCGAGAAGTCCTTGACAACCAATGAGAATACCTAATATTAATATGTTTTTCTTCATACCTGGTTTCAACATATTATTAATCCAAAAATAACTGGCTGGAATAATAAAAGATATACCTATTAAACGACCCCACATTCTATGTATATACTCCATTAACCAAATTTGTTTAAACTCCTGTAGTGTTATGTTTGTGTTGATCCTGATTGAATATTAAATAATTATCTATTATGATATAATATAAATTATGAACATAAATGATTACTTACTTACATTTTGAATTCTGGAAACTGCTTATATTTTTCAAATTCGTTTAGCCATGAGACTTCATTTAACGGTATTTTTTCTCCAAGTAATTTCCAAGTTACAATAGATAAACCAGATTCTGTTAATCTAGTTATACCTCCTTTTCAAAAAATAATTTTTATTATATTGCAATTTTTGTATAAATAAACATATATTAATATATAATTCTATGTTACTCTTAAAAAGTAATATAAATGATTCGTAAAATTTTAATTTTCGCATTAGGGAATATTTGAATAGAAATATAGTCAAATATTTATATTTTTAGTTTATGATTATAATAAAATTAATTATATAAATATAAAACATAAAATTATTATATAAATATAAACACTTCCCTGGATATTTAATAAAGAATGTATATACCAGGGATGGATTTATTGAAATAAAAAGTAGATAATTTGTTGATGTACATAAATAAAGAGCAAATAGATTTTGCATTGTATTGATCAATATAATTTTTTAATACATTAAATAAATATTCGTTAGATCTATTGCATGAATTTAAAATTGATATATGTAATTTCAAAAAATTTTTTATGAAATAAATTAGAAATTTCATTTAAATTATAACATTTTGAAAGATACATTGTTAGTCTATAATTTAGAAATTGTTTAAGTAATTAATTTTGGTTATTTGAAATATTATTAAAAATACACTCAAATATTTCTATTTTCAATTATATATTATGAAAATATTAACAATATTCTTCAAATTATATTTTGTTATCTAATACATCCACATCTAAATTATAAATACTAAAATTAATTAATTCTGCTTTTATTGTAAATCTGAAAGTAGTTTTTATAATATCTATCACTTTGACTAAGTTTTTGAAAGTTGAAAAATATCCAATGACCTCTACATTATTTGTTGTAACAAACATAGCTGTAAATGTAAATATAGGCTGTAATATTCTATTTCCCAATATTTTTTTAGATATATCTAACATCCATGTAATAGCCAGCTATTTTGGACAGTACATATTTTTACAATTGTGATTAATGTTATTATTTTATAATCGAAATCATCATAAGACTTTTATAACTCAAATATATTTTTAGTAATACATGTTGTGTTAGAGATATCGAACACAAATAATAATTATATCTAATAAATAAATTTATTGACATTTGAATAAAGAATTTAAACATTTCCTAATTGATTATAAGGTGATTGAAGATGAGTGAAAATTTCCACTTTTGTACAAGAATTAGAACATTAAAAAATGTTATATATGATATTATGTTTTTCAACTCTGATTAAATATCATTGTTTCATACAAAGAATGCACCATAAAACATCTCTGCTGTACTTCATTATATTTCTTTTACTTACAATTTAACAAAAAATATTTATAATAATACAAAGCCGAATCTAATTTGGAGTTAATTAAAAAAATTATTTTTTGATAATATAATTAAACTGTATTAATTATTTTCTTCAATGTCAATTAAATATTTGACAATATAATAAATTATTTCAATATTTTTTAAAATTATTAATGTATTAAATTTTATTAGATCAATCAAGGCATTATAAAAACGGAAATGTTTTATATTTCATAATTAAAATAAATTTTATTTATAAGAAAAGTACAGATTTGAAACTATGCTAATACAATTTTGAAAATAGCAATTAATTAAAAGTAAGAAAACAAATATAAGCACCATTTTTTTTAAATAAATGTTTTATTTATAATTAATTTTAATATATTATTTAAATTTTTTATTATAAACAATAAATTAAATCTTTAAAACAATATACATAATACAAGAATTGACTTTAGAATATTAAATAATACAAAATCTAAATTAGAAACAATTATTAATAAAAAGTGTAATTGTCAGCAAATGGAAATCCAATGTATATAAATTTGGTATTTATTTAAAAAATATATTAACATATAACAAAAGAAAAACTTGAATATAAATAAGAAATGAATAATAAAAAACAAATAATCACAACATAGTATTCAGATTAATATTTGTTAATAATTTTAAAAGAAATTGTAATTTTTAGATTTAATGTTAAATATAGACATAATTTTATTATGAACAGTAATTTAAAGTAATCTAAATATGTATAATATTTTAAAGATTCAATTTGTCAAAATATTTGATTTATCAGTTATTTGGTACATTTTAAATCTGTTTATAGGCATACATTTTTAAAAATATTTTAAATGTATATATTAAATTATTAAAAACAATTAAATAACTACTTAAAATATACCTAATGTCACAGCTACAAATACCATTCCACTACACGATAATAACCAATAACCAACAATTTTATTTGATAATGAATGTCTTGACGTAAAATTTGATATTATTTTATCGCTATGATATAATGCAATTTCTATCTGAAATATTCCAATTTCATTAATAAAATGAATATAAAATGATTAATACGCCACTTATAATTAACTAAACTATTATATTATTACCTTTGAATTTAAATTCATAGATTTCAATTTTTTTAAATTAGGATGTTGTATTTTTAAGACAAAAGATCGACTTAAAATACTAAATTGTCGAAACAAAAAACCCTTAATTATAATGTTCATAATTTATGTTAAAATTGATTTGATGGAGGAAGCAAACTAACTCACATTATTCAAACATGCGCAGTTAAGGTTAACTCTTAACTAATTCCGACTGGTAATTTAAGTATAATTTTTGTGATTATAAATATTTAATAAATAACATAAATTTTAAAATAAAAAAATTAACTGATTTTAATATATTATAATTTTTATATTTCACAATAGATTATTCACTTTATATTCCTTGTAGACAATAAATTTAATCAAATTCCATAATGAAATATTACATAATGAACACTAAATAGGTCTGATAAAATTGGACAATTCTTTATTTTAGTCCTAAAGTTTCTATGTATCATAATTGGTAATTTATTTTTCAAGTATATTATCAAGAATACCTATAGCGACATAAAGTATGTAAATGAAAAACACAAAATATGTCTTAAGAATCGTGTGCTGATTGCAAACTTTTTGAACAATTAACGGAATTATTTAATTCAATTAATTATAATAGAAAATAATAGTACGTAAAAACATAAAATGATAACGGAGCCTTATATAATAAATTACATATAAATATTATTCTCTATTATAATTAATTGAATGAAATAATTCCGTTAATTTTTGAGGTTAATATTATGTTAATTTTATGAGATATTGATTTTACGTTTATATAGATTAAAAAATTTTTATATAAAAAATTACAGCAGCTGCGTTCTATGCAATGTATTAAACATGATATATAATTTTAATTAATGTATAATATATTGAATTAAGCAGAATAAAAAATTATATTAAGTATAGAAAAAAAAAAGAAATCAAATATTAATAGAAGGATTTTCAGTAGATAGAACTAAAAGAAAACTAAAAATACTTAAAAAATATAATACGTAATTATAATGGAATATTTTAACTGAAAACTATTTAGCAACAAATAAAAATATAATTCTTTTACGAATGAAGAAAATAATGTAATTGTTTATTAAAAACAAAATTCGACTGAAATCATACGTTAGATATAAAAAATAGTACAAGAAACTTTTCAATTTTAAAACAAAAATTTTTAAATTTTCAGTTCATTTTAATTTCGACTATGTCATTTTGTTCTTGAAGATTACATAATTTATAACAAAATATATATTCTTATAATTATATTTATTTTCCCTATATACTTGAAAACCTTCATGTTTGAATACTTGAAGCTAAGGGCCAAAAGAAATGAATTGAATTAATTATAATCAATTAAATAAAAACCTCAAATTATACTTCGAGTAGATTAATAGCATTGTAGGAATAATACATGCAAATGGAATCAAATTCGTTATCACTACCTGGCTATCATGCAAACAAACATATAATATAGAAATTAACAAGATATTTTTAAATAATACATTATGTAGTATAATTTCTATTTCATAATTGAAATACTATTAATAATGATAGGTTTCCAGCAATACAGAAAAGGTTTAAATGCACACGAACAGCCTAGGCTATACATACATTAATTTCATTATATAAATACAGTACCATCCATGGCAATGAGATACTTTTTGTGTCTTTAACATATACAAAGACAATTTCTTATATCATATTATATTGAATATTTATAATGAAGTTGAGAACTTCCTAATTAATTACTAAATATTGGTGAATTCATAATGAAGTAAATTTATTCTATGTTCATTTTATGCTAAATAAATACCCATTTATTTATCTTGATAAATATATAATTTATAACACTTTAATTATTAAATATTTCAATATAAATTTTTATACTGTTATTTCTTTGACTCATTTAATATCTTTACCATTTGTAAATAATTGAGTTGATAAAGGTCTGAAAAATAGTAAAAATATGTATCTATAAAGCTTATAATTTATGTATTTTATAATTTTTTTTTACATAACAATAAAATAATATAAATTTATATTTGATAAATTTTTATATATAAATTTTTATATAGTCAATAGTTATAATATAATGGTGTGACCATAATTTGTATTTAAGTTTAGAATATGTAAAAGATATACGATCGATTTACTTAAATATTACAAAAGAAATATGAAAATGAAACAAAACAATGAAATTAAGAAACACTGAATTAGAGTTAATTAAGTATCTACGTATTTACGAAAATCATTATATATTTAAGGGGGGTCCACATGAATCAGTTAAATAAAAGTAAAATATAGTTTTTTTTAAATATAGTTATGCTAATAAATGAATACATTAAGATTATTATATTCCATTAAATAACGATGATTCTCGCCACTATCCAACGAGCACTATATGTATGTTAATCGTACTCATATCTTAGCGAAGGTAACACGTATACACATCTGTGATGGGCTCTATTTCTTATGCAGTCGTCGTCTTGAGTAAGTATTATTGGGCTAATTTGCTTTAGAAATGTAAACTGCGTAATAATATAAATTAAAAAGACATAATTTATTCTAGCATAAGAATTATCTTATTATTATATTAATATAACAAATAAAATAAAGGTAATTATATGATTAAGAAATTATATATATATATATATATATATATATGAATGATTTAGTACTTTTTATAATTTTAAAATAAACTAATTTTACTTACGTGTTCATACCAGCTCGGATTTTGACAGCAAAAATACCATAAACTGGCTTATGATCCGATGAACAAATACTTCTAGTAGAATCATAAATTATACATTTTATTTCTTCATTTTTCATTTGTGTTTTCTTTTTATCATTTGGATTTTTAAAATGTATATTACTTTTATAAAGAATTCGATCCGTATAAGCTGGAGTTCGATAATTACCACTAGAATCTAATAATTGACTTCCATGATTGTATTTATAAGTTGGTGGAAAAGTTATAGGTGCTTCATTAAACTTATGTAAAATAATTTGATTATCTAATAATATTTTCAATTGATCATTATTTAGATTAATAGGAGTTTTTTTAGAAAAATGTGAAGTACTTATCCAATTCATTACATCTTCTCTAGATTTATTAAGTCGAAAGTTTAAATCGCCAAACAAGAAAACACTATCAAAATTGTCAGTTGAATCTAAATGAAGATATTAATTCATAAAATTATACAAAATAATAGTAATATGCCTTACTTCGTGAACATAACTTTTTACATTTGTACAAATTGTTAGCCTAGTTAATAATAGTGAAACAGTCTTACTTTTAAACATAATTTTAATGTGAATAAAGATATTTACTCATTTTTATGAGGGTGCATTAATATTTTCGGCATTGAAATAGTAGATTAACAATTTATATTAAGGTATATTATAAATATTTCTGGTAAACAACAGTCAATTCATAATGAATAATATAAAAAAATAAGACTCAGTTTCGTATTCATAGTCTTATTATCTAATTGTCTTAAAATTTAATAAAAATTTTAAGAAAATATTAAATTATAATCATGAAGAGCCATTTACACCTGTAAACAATATTCCTATTATTTCTCATTCTGTAGAAATTAATCATTACTATACTAATTTTTAAGAATATTGAAATTATTTTATCATTATAATTTTATTATTTAGGTAATTGATTTGTTACATAAACTTTAGTAATGTTTATTAATTATTAGTATTATTTATTATTTATATAATTAGTTCTTTAAGTAATTAATTAATGAATGAATTAACACTGTTAATCATATTGGCTTGTATAATAAATATTGATTTATATTTGTATATACTCATTTTGTATTATTATTATTATTATTATTATTATTCTCTATATGATAATTGCTTTCTAGTTATTCATTAGCTATGGATAAATTATTTATTTCTTTAAATATTTTGTTTTTTATTCAGCTTCTTGTTGTATCTATATATTTTATTTGTAGATTTTATTTGAATTGTTAATTAATTTAACCTTTCTATTGATTTTATTCTAAACATATATGTTTCATTTTATTATATGAAAGTGCCTCAATCGACTAGAATGACTGGAAGAATAGCTCCAACGAAAAACTTTTTCAGTTAGTTGAAAAATCATAAAACTTTAATAGATAAATTTTTCAAAATATCAATATCTTTATGACATTCGAAAATGCTTGATCCGAAAATATTTGAAAACCTCAATGTTCGATAATTCAATTTAATTTGTCGCCCACCTTAGCGCATGCTTAGGTAAGGACGTAAGTGGAAGGACTGTAAAGATATACAGTGTGTGTAGACTTCGTCGAACATCGTTTATTATGGTTTTTGACAATTACATTATTGATGAGTTGAATTCACTTCTCAGGACAGAGTGTTAACTATGTTCAATTACAACAATGTAGTTGCTCCATATTGATGGTTACGATCTTGTTGCTGATCTTTACAAGATCAGCAATGGATTATGCACACTCCTTGAAAAGGCGTATAGCTTATTTATGTAATTGAGGCTTTTCCTAAATATTGTAAGGATTAGCAAAGAGTTGTGTATACTCAAGGAAGGAGTGTGGCTTAATTATATAATAGTTATCCTTAATAGAGATTACTGGTATACCATTGTGATAAGGAGTACTTCGATACCATGCTTCTTGAAGTCGAATATTTCTTGTAATGCAGTCAACAACCTTGATTGCTTTTTAACTGTTCTGCACTGGAGAGTTGGTGTGTGTTACTTGTGCAATGGCTTTACTGAGAGATTGGATTGAGTGAATATCTTCTGAGTAATTAGCTCATAGCTGAATAGCGCGTGTCACGAGGCGTGCTTGCCTTAAATATCCATGCGGCAGCTTAGTTAGCTGACAACAATCGATTGGTGTTGCTATGCGAAGACTAGATAAATATTGTAAAACGTTCGAGAATAAAGCTTTAGAAGGTTGGAGAATTCTGGAAAAGTAAAGCTTTAGAAGCTTCGAGAATTCCGAAAAACATAATGTTTACAAAATTCGAGAACAAAAAGGCTTATAACTTTCCAAGAGCGAAAGGTCTTAGAAAACAATCCAATTCCAAACATATAGGTTAAACATAATCCTTCGATTAATGTAAGTACTTATTAATTTAAACCAATTAACACGATATATATTTTATATATTCGATTGTAAATTTCCTAAATGTTTAAAAAATATATTTTCTTGTGTATGTTGAGTTTATAAAATACAAAAATATATCAATGTTAAAACTAATAATGCTTAATAATGAAAATTATATATATTTTTTTTAAATTACAAATCCAAGGTATAAGAATTTAACATATAATTACATGCATACAAATTACTAAATAATGTTTTATTTTATATTTATTAGTTTTTAAATATAAAGAAATATATGTTGCAAAGAAAAATTTTATATATTATTGAATTAAGAAGTGAATTTGAGAAGCTCATGTACTTATTTTACCATATTTTCTACAAATAAAGAACCATTTTGTGAATCAATAATTTTTCATTTTGCGTACGGGATCGCTTGTTTATAAACATCCAACTTATTAGAAATCCTCTCAATATATTTTTATAATAGCCGAGAAACAACGTTGATACTTTTTAAAATTAATATTTGATCATTTTTTTATAAACTTGCTATTTACCTACATCTTTGATAGTTGAAAATTGTTTAAAACAAAAGTCTTTTCATATTTTTTACTTGATTAAATTATTTAATAAAAAAGTACTTATATTCTTGTTAAATACTTAGCTATACTATAAAAAGTTAAGTAATTCTTCTGTTTTCGAACGTATTTTCTGCTATACTATATTATTAAGTTTTATTTTGCTCTTTACTTTACTTGTTAAAGCTTTTCATTTTCAACTTGTACGTCTTTTCAATCTTCATATGAACATTCTACGTGTTAATCTTAAATAATGAGTTATAATATAATCTCGACTGACAAAAAATATTTGTTCTGTACACTTTGTGTATACTATGTTTTCTTGTTTAATATATTTATAATTTGATAAAAAAATCTATTGAATAATAGATTTCAATAATAAAATAAATATTGAAGGTGAAGCTTAATATATATATATATATATATAAATTTTATTTATTATATCAAGAAATCAAGAAATTATATTAAAATAAAAAGAATCTTCGGTACTAAAACATAAATTAATTCATTTTCATTTATAATACATTTTCTTTTTTTCATCAGATACATTAAATGTTTATTTTTATTTAATAAATAGTACATTAAAATATAATAAATACATACCTTCAAAAGAATTCCTTAACGGTAATTTTTTTGGTACATTTAGTAAACGAATAATATTTTTTATTTCTTCAATACGTTTAATCGTATTTTTTGGATGAGGTGTTAAATGTACCATTATGAATAAAAAACTCGAACCAAAAATAATTAAACCTAACGATATGGCACCTTTAGTTTTTAAAATTGTATATTTACTTGATAAAATTACATTTGTTTCGGATAATGAACTAAATATTATTAGTTCTCGACGTAAGAATAAACTAAGACGTAGTCTTCCGAATTGTTTTCTTTTTCGTAAAATATGAGTTGATCCAATAATATTTAAAATATTGTTCTCCCACTGACTGATATTATACATACATGTTTCTTGTGTTCCTATAATTATTAAATCTGCTATCATTTCAGAATCATTTGGTATAAGAAAGCCGTTCAAATTATTCAATGGTTTTTGTCCATTCATATTCCAAGTACCAATAAAAATGTGTATTTTTCGTTCTAAGATTATTTTTTCTATCAAAGTTAGTCTAGATTGAAAATCAGGTATAATATGACCATACAAATAGTTTCTGTAACAATTCGGTTTTATTTAGATAAAATAATAAGTTATAATTTTTAATAAAAATATATATTTCCTGTTGTATGTTAATTATGCAACAAGAATATAAAGGAATAAAATGAATAAAATTTAGACTTGTTCTCTATAAGTAAATGATTGATTTAAGTATACAAATAATCATAACTACCGTGAGAATCATAAATAATCATTAGTTAAATAAATAGACCAATACCTGCTTTCTATTTTTTCTAACTTTCTTCTCTTTGATATACTTATCGAATTATATTATTTAACCAAACTCTGTTATAAAATCAATACTTTTTAATGTAAAGTAATTTTGTAAATTATTTAGAATTATACTAAGTCGACCAGGTTACTGGTGGGAGAAGTGTAGATAAGTGGAAGAGAACCGCATTAATTCAAAATTAAACACATCTGCTTTTGATACTGTTTATCACGTTTATTTTACAAGCTACACTATAATAATTCTAAATTAGTAATGAGAATCGTTGAGATCTTGTAGTTCCGTGGTGGTTGCCACGTGGCGTTAGCATGCCCTACATGCTGAGGTAGGAGGTCGTAAATCTCCGTATCTTCTTGACGTAATGCGCTTAGTGGTAAATTCTTATATATTAATAAAGAAGTAAGAGGTCGTAAAATCCCTTGACATTTCGTGTAGTGCCACGTGGTGGTAACTTGATTATGGTTTCCTCCCAGCTGTCTTGTGGTGTCGACAGGTGAGGAAGGCCTGTGACGGCTTCGTGCTAGACGCACTAGTATTGGAAAGGCTTGTGACGGCTTCGTGTGAAACGGGCCTGTGACTGCTACGTGCAAGAAGGACCTGTGACTGCTTCGTGCTGTACGCGCTAGTGACTTCTTCTGAGAGTTTTCCTTCTTTCGTGAGGACCCATTGGAAAGTGCGTATCCGCTTTCTGTGGCGTCACTTGTAACAGAGGCACCCCTTCCATGGCTTCGGTTAAGACAGCCCGTCTTCTGCGGCGTCCCCCGTAAGAGAGAGCATCCGCTCTCTGAGGCGGCCCTTGTAAGCGAGAGCACCATTCTCCATGGCGTCCCTTGCAAGACACCAGCTTCACTTGTGATCGTCTCCCTTAAATGCATTTCGCTGAACACGGCGTTCACTTAAGAAACGCCTACTTCCTTGGCGTCTCTACTTGGAGCGTCTCTAGCTTCGGCGTCTTTACTTGGAGCGCCTTTAGCTTCGGCGTCTGTTCTTGGACCGCCTCTGACTTCGGCTTCTTCAATTAGAGAGAGTAATCTATCTCTGAAGGGTCCTTGCTTTAACTATGCAAACGACAGTATGGCTAGATTCGACAACAGTATATGCGATCGTGTACCGTTCGATTTTTAATTTTTGGGGTAACGACTATTTCCAGATGTGTAATGACTCAGGTCGATATAAAAATTTAATCTAACCACAGTATGGTATTTCGTATTTTCATAGCTTACGCAAATACTTTTTGTACAGTTTATAAATATAATCAATATTTATTCAATCCGTTATTCGATTCTTACACAAGATATAAATTAATTTGAAATTACATTTTGGCTTTCAAAAATTGCATCTTATTTATGTTTAATCATTCATATTCAAATATTCAATAATATATTTATAAATGCAGAAAATAAGAACAAACGACTTTTGAAACTTCATTATAAAGTGATTTACAAAAATAAATATTTTATTTTAATCTATCACGGATGAAGCATTACGGTATGAACAAAGATTGAAATATTTAAAATTAATAGATTTAAAACTATTTCTTATATATATATATATATATCTGTATTTTTTACTTATGAAACAAATTAAAAAAATATCAATATTGATCGTGTGATTAATGAAAATTTTAGTATTAGTTTTTTATATGAAGTTTATTTCGTCTGAATCGCAACTATATATTTTACTTTGGTGGCCGTTATCCAATAATAGAAAAAGAAAGATAGAAATAAAGACAGAGACAGAGTGTTGGTATTAAATTAAAATTTATTTTCAACATAATAAAAATGAAATTTAAAAAAATTATTGGGTTATTTACTTAATTACTAATATGATAGATAACAATAAGAAAAATAAATGTTAAGATTTTAAAATACTAGTAATCAAAATGGATCTTTTTTGAAGTATTTAGATATTAAATAAATAAATTCAAATATGAATAGTTGTATTAATTAAACATTAAATTTAAATATATGTATATTACATTATTAAAAGATAAAATGGATTTAATTGTAAAATTCAAATATAGTATGTTTATATTATAATTACATTTTAAATAAAATATATTTTTAATCATATATGCTTTATTTGTTTTTCATGTTTATTTTAAAATTTCGAGATTTAAAACAAACTAAATATATGTGAGTCAACAAAAAAAAAATAATTTCAAAAAATTTTGAAACAGAACAACTAAGTTATTTACAGCGAAATAAACAATTTTATTCAAGTATATTTTTATGTTTATAGAATAATTAATAGATCACTATTAATTTATGAAATTTTATTTTTTGATTTATACTTATTAATAAATAATACTTTCCATTGTGGAGAATTAAAAAAATTATTAAATGACAAGTGTCAGTTTAGATACTGATTAATTAATTCATTAGTTTGTTTAATATTTGGAGTTTTCACTTTAGTTTATTATAAATCAATTGGTTTTATTGCTCTATTAGTCAAATTTTCAATTTATTGAATTACGTTATATTAAAAAAAAATAATTATATTAAAATTGTTTCTTTAAACATATATGTATATAAATCTATTTTTTAAAACATCCTATGTTTTTTAACATTAAGAAACATTAGAACATTATGAGAATAAATAAAAAGATAATATAAAAAGAAAACAAAAAACGATTACTGACATTGTCCTGCAACATATTAGCATCTTACAAGTATATGTAATAATACTCAATTTAAAATAACAAAAATAAGGCAAGACTAGAATTATATGATATTTATTCAAAACAATGCAAAAGAATTCACAAATGTTATATGTATAAAAATATATTTTTTAGGAATATCAGTTAACAAAAATATAGGATGTGGATAATACAAGGGAGTAAGTATGAAAATAAAAAATATATTGAATCACGATAATAGAAATAGTTTTAAAATATATAATATGAAATCACAAAACATACGAGAGACTAACAGAATTATAAATAATTATTTGTAAAGTTCATACATTTATGAAGTTTAACGATCAAACAAAGTTAGAAATGAATGTTGTAAGTTAATGTCTAGAATTGTATTAATTAATATTTTTATGTTGTGTATAACAATAAATGTTCAGAACTGGTGACAACGAACGTTTGATTTTGTCAATTTTAATTATCTTTTTCTTTTGTTAATAAATAGTTAGTTCTATGATGAGTCGTATTGATTAAATACAGTAATTTTTATTGTTCTTGATTTGAAAAGAGTTATATAAAATAATATATATAAAAAAGAATAAGTCATAATGCTGAATTGGGTCTTTTTTTATTTTCATTAATTATAATTATTATATTTTCATACATTTTAAAAAATTATACTATAAAATATATAAATAAAATATATAAAAGAATTTCTTATTTGGTAAATAGGGGAAAATAGATTTTACATAGATTTTTTTATGTGCAGTAGGATTTAGTAAAACTTATTCAAAATTTCTTAATCATGATCCACTTTTTTAAAATATCAAATTTAAAATTTTATATTTAAGTAGAAAATATAATAATATAAATATATTTTGTAATAAAACTTATTCTTAATATTCATTAAAATAATGAATATCACAACCTATCTAAATTTATATATTGTATATGTTATAATGCAATTTTGCGAATTGTACATTTATTATGTTTGAGGAGGAATTATAATCTATCTTAATATTATTAACTTTTGAATCTATAAATTGCTTAAGTACATCATTAAAAATGTGCATATATGTATACAAATTTATAAAAATATTTAAATATTTAAATATTCTAAGATAAAATTTAATCTACTAGGAACTGCCATTATTGAACTTGATATTATATGGTGTTTATCTTCAATTTTAAGACTATACCATATTTTTTAAACAGTTTTATATAAATATTAACATAAAATACTAAAATACAACATTATGACAAAAAAAATAGAGCATTTTTATATATGTAGTATGCACAAAGGTATTTATATTTCATATCTACTAAATAATGAATAATATACTCATACAAATATATGTAAAGTATATGAAAGTAAGATAAAATGTGATAGTTCAAAAAGATATATGCATAATTATAATATATAGTATATGTTGAATTGATTTTTAACTATTTTTCATAATAGTAAAATTAAATATTTATTTAATATATTACTTCTTTTAAATATCATATGTTTTACATATTTTATTAAATTTTATATTATAAATTTAGGTATTTTAAAGGATAGAATTCAAAGTTATAATTTTGTTTCATAAATAACTTTTAATTTATATATAATATAAAACTATTAATCTATCAACTCCCTTTAACATATTAAAACTAAAAATGTTCCCATTAATAAATTTATTGTAATAAATACATTTAAGTTTTAACCAGTGATTCAAATCATTTTAACACATCCTAGTTAAACAGAATTTAGTAAAAATATACATTCTTTCAAATTAAAATAAATGAATATTTTATTATTTATTTACATTTAACATTATATTTGTAATATACATTTCAATATTAAAATACACAAGTGAAGTGAATAATTATTACCTTTCAAGAAATTGAGTGTTTTCTTTTGTTTTTTGTTGCAGTTTTCTGATACGTGAAATCATTGGATATTGTTATTATAATTTTATAAAATTGACCAATTTGTGCTAATCATGTAATATATATAAATATATACTGTTAGTAACCATAGTTACCAGGATAGAAACATGAGATTCTTATTATGCAAATGAAAATTAATTGTTTAAATTTAAATTAAATCTAATTTTAAATATCTTAAAACAATATTTCATTCTTTTAAAAACATCTAGTTTCTTGGAAATTTTGAGTATTTTGTTTTTCTAATATATTAATTAATACAATGAAGCATGAAATATTTTCTGGTGTTAATGTTATTAGTTGCTTATATATATATGTGTATGTATATATGTACGTAAAATAATGCATAATAAATATTTTATTATTTTTATATATTTACACCTGTAAAGAATTAAAATACGATTTATGAAAATTTTACTAAAAATATGGATAAATAAAGATATTCAAAATTTTAATGTGGCATTGTATATTTTATATTATACTAGTCATTTAGTGTATATACAAATTTGATTTGTACATTGCAATACCATTTTTAGGATCAAACAAGGGTTTCGATGTATAAAATACTTTTTCTGTTGCATTGTTCAGTTATCCTTGTACTTAATATTTCATTGTTATAATTAAATTACAATTTCTTTTAAAAATACTAGTTATATATCGAAATTTAATTATATTAGAGAATTTTTATTATTATATTACAAGTTATATCAAATATCGAAATATAAGAGTATCATAAAAGCGCTCTACATGGATGGAATTTTAATGAATGAAATTTGTAACGATTTCATAAAGCTAAAGGAAGTGTTTAATAGGTGTCATAATTTCCACATTGATAACGATAACTGGTTTTAGAATCTGAAACAACTTCAAATTTTATAATGTATATAATGTATTTACGTGTTGTGATTATGTAGTTTCAAATTAATTATGCTATTGGAGTATAACTTTTATGTTAATTTCTCGTTACAAATTTTGAGGTCTGAATTGTAAACAAATCAAAGCCTGTGCTCTTAGATTTAGACCATTTGTCTTGGGTTAGACTAAAACCTCCAACTGATGTTCAGTGGGAGGATTGCTGGCAAGTGGACGAGGAAGGCGCATTTATTTAATATTAACATACAGCGTATAGTCAGATTGCATATGCATATAATGCTTAGTTAGCGCTAGGAATCTGTGAGATGCTTTCGGTATATTTCACGTGTCGATGGCATGTACTACCTGCAGAAGTGGGTGTAAATCTCTGGTACTTTTTCGAGTAATGCAACGTAATGGTAACGCTCCAAATCTGCCCTTATAGCCGGTGTTTTATCTTATACCTACAGCCATTCGCGGGACCTTGGCGATTCAATAAATATTTATCAGAGTCGTATGAGGCTAGTACTCTTGCGCCTTCAATATATGGTTTTCCTTTAATTAAATTCACAGAAATTCAAATTTTACCTAATTCTGTGATGAGTGTGTAGGTGGTCCGCTTCTAGTTAAATTCACTATTGAATTACAATTAGCATTCGTAATTGATTGAGAAAAATTACTGTGAGCAATAACTGATGAGTGAATGATTGATAAAAATACAGTGAGCCCCGGTGCGTGGCGAGCTGCTCTTAAATATTCGAGTGGCATCTTACAATGCTAGCAGCAATGCTTGGACTTGTTGATAGGCCGAAACTCTTGATGACGTCAGAAACGGAGCTCCGGAAATTCGAGAAGTCCAGAAGGATAATTGGAAGGTTAGAGAATTTTTATCGACCTTGCTATGCGGAAATATTGTGGCACTAGAAAATAATAGACTATAATACAAGAATTCGCAGAATCAATGTTTACAAACTAAACGTCCGCGAGCATATACTTTTCCCTATTTAAAATTTCTTCGAAGTTGCTCCAATCCCGAACATCATTTCTACTATTTAAATTTTCTACCCATTTTTATATGACAACGAAGAAAAGTATTCTTATTTATTTAGTATAATTATTAGTATAGTGGCAAATGTAATTGAACATATTTCCTATATATAATTCATTACTTAAACTAAAGGACGACTAATAAGAAATTAATATATGTATTGATCGAAAATCTTATGATTATATTTTACATTTGAAATTTTTTTCTTAATTTGCTTAAGGTTACGCTATTTACATTACCAATTTGTTTAAGATATCAGCTAAATAGAACGCCAAACATACAAGAGAAAGGATATATTTATATTAGACAAATATGCGGTAAGGTTAGGTTCAAATTTGAATTTGTATAACATTTATTTTAGTGGGATATATTTGAAGACACGTATTTTAATATGGATTAGGTTAAAAAATGAATTTAGAATTAATAAACGAAACAAATAAAAGGGTTTCCAAAAGTAAAAATAAATTTGCATTAATAACGTTTCAATTTGGGTTGGGCAACGTAAATATTTTAAAATATTGATAAATAAAATTTTCAACTTATAAAAAAATAAAGTATGAAGCAAATTACACTACACGATAAACTTGCACTTCAATCATTTACCAAATATATTTTTATTTTAAAGAAAAAAATTTTCAATATTTTTTAATTAAAGAAATTATCAAATTTTTTGAAGTTTGTAATTTAAAATGTAATTATGAAAATACTTTGCTCTACCTTATTATTTTTGTTCATTTATAAAGTGTTTTTGAAACATTACAATATTTTTATATCATTGTTTATTATAATGTAGGTAATTAATACTTCATATTAGCATTTACTTAGCTTACTTATTTTTTTAGATATTATGAAGTATGTAAAAAAGGCTTCTAATCCACCTTAGCATTGTTATAAAAATAAGAATTTGCTTTTCCATGTAGCATGATTTTTGTTGTCACCACATAATTATGTTATAACCTTTGTGTTTTTGCATTAAAATCATGTTTATTTTAAATACAAATTATATCCAAATAAAATAAAAATTTATTTTAAATATTTCATAATTACTTTTTTTTTGCTTTGGTATATAATATTCTTTAAAATAAGTGCTGATTGAAATTTCTTAGACTGTAAAAATGAAAATCTGAAATACAAAGTCACTGTAGAAATTTTGTAATTTTATTCTAAATTTAGTGTACGATTTTTTAATTGAATTCATGTTGTATACAATATTTAGTTGGTTTAATGTAATGATCAATAGTTTATATATAATATACTGCACTAATAAGGGTTGATTATTGCCGTAATATAGGTTCACTCCCTGCTCTAATAACATTTGTAAAACGTACTGAAAAATTATCTGATTGCTGTAAATATATTATTTCTGAATTTGTAGTCCTATTATTATTTTCAGTTTTCTCTAATTTTAATAATGCATCATTTAAACAGATATTGTTTAGATTTACAGAACTATTGGAATATATTGCTGTAGCAATATTTTGATTAATAGTAGAAATATTTTGTGTATCAGTATAAAAACAGTCCATTTTTTGGTCAATATTATTTTTTTTAATAAATTTATTTGAATAAGCATGTGTATTTATAAGATCACATGCATGTCCTAATATCATTAAATTTATTAATATTCTTAATGATATGAGAATGAAATATGCTAAAAATAAAAGCAAAATATTGGCTGGTTTTGATGACGAAGTTAACGTCGAACAGAGAACACGAGCTATAGCTACTCCTAGTGGAAGTGGAATAAAACCCATACGTCTGGCTACTAAATCCGAAGGATCTGAAAAAGCTGTTTCTTGTCTTGTTTGCGCCATATCATAAGCTAGGCTAATGGTATATTCTCTATAAACGGTTGATCTTAATTCATTAAAACGTGTAATGAATGCATGTTTTACCTGAAAATAATGTATGAATAAATTTGATTACTCGTGTAAGTTATATTAATTGGTAAATATAAAATATCATTTTTATACCCAGTCAACAAGGACCTCAGCAAATAAAAGTAATACACAATCTGGAAGAAGAACTGCAAGACGATCACCACGCCAAGCATATTCTTTCATGGTTTGTAAACTAACAGCAAGAAGCAACATACTTAAATGAAAACGTTCCCTTATATCACTACATGATAATTGAAATAAATTATTTTTATCAAATTTTTTGAATACAGAACCCTTTAACTCAACAAACTGAAAGTACAATATATTGAAGTTAGAATTTCAATTTTAATAATTTTTTTCTAATTATTACTTTTAATACTTACATTATTAGACATCATTATAGTTAAAAGAGCCTTATTACTACTATTAATAGCAACATTTAAAGTAGTTGCTTGAAAAAGTACTAAAATGCTGTGTAATACTACGTGATTGATAAAAGAATAATATAATTAAGTATATTTAACTGTTGTAACAACATGTTGAACACAATGTTCGTTTAGTAAAATATTTAAAGTATACATATAACTATGTAATAAAAACAATTGATACTATTTTATCTAAATTTTATACAAACTTTTAAAAATATTGTACAATTTTCGTTAATAGAACAAGTGTAATAATATATATGTTCACAATTCCCTAAAATGTTTATTAATGATTAGGCGAAGTTATATTTGGCTACTATTGGTACTAATCTTAGTACGCATAAGAAATGTAACATTTATAGTAACTTTATCGATTAAAAGAATTTCATTGATTCAATTACCATGCAATAAAACTGAGTTTTTTGTTCATATGATTAATATGATTAAGAGGGAAAAAGTAACAGTATATAAACACATTTTTTAGTTTCTAGAACAAATTTAGTTGACTATGAACCATCCTTATACAAGCCAACTTATGATTATAAATTTATAAATTTGGTATTAAATATGGTTTTGAAGTTAAATCGAGTTCTTAGCATAGAATTTATCTAATCCATAAATATAAGTTAGTGAACCATAATATGAAAAGACTTTCTTTAAAACTGTGTGCTAGTTTGATTTTGTTTAATAAAATTATTACCTCAACTTTAAAAATAATCGTAGAACAATTTTATCACCATTTGGATTCATCAATACTATAACTGTTTAATAAATTAAGAATAGGCTGTCGAACTTAGTAGAATTGTTCATAAATATTTTTATTCAAGATGATATGCTGGTTGATAAGAACTGAATGTTTGATAAAATCAACACTATGACTGTAAACATTATTAAATAAACATATGTATGAATTTATTTAATCCACAAAAACCCTAATTAAAATAAAAATAGATTTTAAACAATAGGAATATACATTAATTTTTCCATTTGAGTATCATATCCTTGTATAGTATAATATCCTTTAATATTGAGTATAATATCCTTTCATTAGAATATAATAGACCAAACCTCTGAGACTATTCAGTTAGAATAGAGCAAAGTAAAGATTATAAGAATTTGTTATAGTATTTGAGATACTTTTATAGTAGAAAAAAGGATACAGACATATGTCAAAGCAAACAATAGGTGAGGTAAAGTTCCAAGATGTTGAGAATGAACTGTGTGGTTTTTAGATCTTGGTTCTGTTGCAGTCCAAAACAATGCATCTATTGTGTCTTGACCAAAAGCACTAAAAAGACGATCTCCAACTTCTAGCATATTATAAAATATGTAGAGTTTTATAACTGATTGACTTTTAACTAAGTGATACATCATTGAAGTATCAACTTTCCACGTCATTACAAAACAACCTAAAACTATTACCCCTTTTAACAGATCACATATTTCAGCAGGTCTTAATAATCCATCATTTTTTCTTCTATAATCACTGTTTCTGAAATAATTAAATAAAAAGCAATACTTTAATGATTTAAAATTTTTTATTATTGATAATTAGTCTAATGAGCCTCTTTGTAACTGATTACATACTCGTATAAAATATTTAGGAATGGATTATGAATAAAAGGATGCATGTGAATGTATAAAAATGTATATAAAATTTAGATATCAAGTTTACAGATATTTTATGAGTTACATTGGATGCTGATTCATAGGTATTTTTCTATTATCATTTCTTTAATGTGTTTTAACTTTTTTGCATGTATCAATAAATGCAAATGTCTCCATGCTTAGAGATGTACACCCTTATAAGAATCTAAAATAAGATTACAGAAAGAAATGAATCTATAAGTAGAAATGAAATTAAATAAATACAAGATAACATATATGTTATATGATGCAATATGCTTACAAAAAATAAAGAATTATTAATATTTTAAGATGTCAAAAAAAATTTCGTATACTTTGGAAGATATATGAGTGACTCGTTAAAAAATCATATATATAATTAAATTTAAGCTATACATATTTTAGAATTATATTTCAAAATAATAATAGAATTTATAGATAAAGATATGAAAGTTTAATAGTATTATAAAAGATGAATTATGTTCAATCAATGATCCATAAAACCTTGAATTGATTAAAAATGGTAAATGAAACTAATGAAATTGAATGCCATAATTTATTATGATTATTCATTAAGATTATGTTTATTATGTTTATAATTATACAAATAAATATTATTTTATTTCCATTCAAAATTAATAAAACTTTATACGGCATTATGGAACATACCCCACAATATTTGATATTTAGTTAGGTATATTTTCAAATATTTACTTTTTATTTAATTATTAAAATTTTTTTATTTTATATTCTGAACATTTAAATTCTGTAATATTCCAAATTTGTACCTCGGAATAGCTTTAAGTAATATTTATAAAGAGTAAAAAGATCATAGTATATGAAAGATAGATATCATTGCTAACTGTACATTATCTATGAATGCAATCTTAATGCTATCAATGTTAATTTTTTTAAATGATATATATATAAATTGAATAAAATATTTTCTAGGTAAAAGTTTTGCAAACCGATATGGATTGCTAAGACACATGATCTCTCAATCATTTTTTTCGATTATTTAGGCTTTACTATCTAATGTTTATATGCTGCATAGATACTGTAACAAATACACATCAGTAACTTTTAAGAAATATAACAAATATTCTCTTTATTCGATTTAGTAAATAGCTACTTGTATATATACAATTTTTACCTACATTTACTTAGTAGTAACTAAAAAATTTTGTTTTTTTTTTGTTCATCTATTATTTTTACAAATTTGTATATACTACTACATTTGATGAAATATAACCTAATGCATTGTTATTCTACTTTTCCAAATTTCTAAAGTCTAAGTGTAAAAAGTAATATTCAATCATAAGATAAATAATATTATTTAAATCTTCTCAATTTGTAATTTATAAACTTCAATTACATTAATGACTAGTTATGGCTTGTTTAATTTCTTATTTCAACCAAGTTTAAGACTTCATTTTTAAAAATTTATATTTAATGTTTCTTTGAATAAAAATAATAATAATTATATCTTAAATTTTTTATATTTATTGTATATATGTATAAAAAAAATATTTATATAAATGAAATAAAATTTAAATAAATTAATTTAAAAAATATATTTTAGATCAATAGCTAAAAATTATTTAATGAGTTTATACTGTTTCGGCTAAGTACTTACCCTAAATAATTTTTTAAAGGTCTTATTATAATAGCCCACAAAGCAATTATAAATCTCAATGGTAAAAATGTGTAGATAAACAAAAATGAGTCTGCACACTAAAAATACAAAATATAAATTATATATAAATTAACTTATAACCAAAAAAAAATATAAGCAACAAAACCTTACTTGAAAAAAACCGTATGTCATAAATTTCTCAACTTCGGTAGGAATTTTCATAAATGAATAAATTTTTTCTCGTCGTGCTGAAAACTGTGCTTCGTCATAATGAAGTTGATATCCACGAGTAAGTTCTGTTTGTAAAAACTCCCTAAAAGATACTTTAAAAAAATATTAAAAAAAATATATAAACAAGCTATCTATAAATAAATTAAGATTAAAAGGATATTTTAAACATAAAAAAATATTTAAAAAATAAAAATTTTGTTGATAAGACAATATGATGATATAATTTAATATACATTTGTTTTGGCGGTATGTATACAAATATTATTTCATATTTATACAAACCATAGAGTAAAGATTAATAAAAACGTTAAATACAATTTGATTATTCATTTCCTTTTGTAAGGATATTTGTAATTTATTAAATAAATAAAATACATATATAACCATTAGTAAACAGGTTCATCTAAAATTATTGATAAATAATTAAAAAAAAACTTGATCAAATACATTTATTATTCATTACATTATGTATTCTATTAAATATTAAGTTTATATATAAACATTAATTTTAAAAGAAGAATTATTAATATTAATTTATATTAAGTAACAATTAAGAATTGATTATTATTTAATACTTAATAGTCATTAAATAATATGAATGATTAAGTATTTATTCATTTTATTTAATGATTTCATTAAAAATTGGTTCTTTTATATGAAATTTTATTTATAAATGATATTATAAAGGTAATTTATGTAATAATAATTTTATGAGCATTATAATTTAATTATTTATTTAAACCGTTTTGTTTTAAAGTTATTGATGTCGGTTTCTTAAAAAATTCCTTTGTCCCCCATTTTGGATTGATATCTTCTACTTTGATGTTACGAAAATTAAAACAACTTTTATTCAAATTAATGAATTTTACAGATTTCTTATCTGAATAATCCAAACTGTTTAAATTCGTTTCACAATCCATATTGATTTCAAACAAGTACGTTGCTTTTATTTTTCCACCTTTTTAAATATTACCATTAATTTTTATCATGTATTAAAATGTTTGTAGTGACAGAACTATTCTTTTGATTCTGCGCAAAATAATTTTGCAGCATATTACAGCGTGAGCACAAACATGTGTTTCATGTGTAAAAATATCTAGGTGCGCGGTATTTCAAATAACTGTAAAGAATATACGATAAAAAATATATTAATAATTTAATTAGCTTTTAATATAACGTATAGAATAATCAGTTATATCTATATTTTGACGAATATTTCATCTAAATCAATTATTTATTGTTTCCAATTATTTAGTCAAAATTCAGTCGATGATTATTTGTTTTTTAATTTTCAAAATAAGAAATGTTATTTAAAAAAAAACTTGATCAAATACATTTATTAGTTTATTTATTATTTTTAACGTGCATTAAAAAATTATAGAAATTAATATAACTAATTTATCATAATCTTTAATAATTTCTGTTTGTTTATATTAAGTTAATAAAAAAAATATAAGATTAAGCTTTTTTCATGAATCTAGAGTTGAGTATTCACACTTTTTTTCGTGATAGCTACAATTAAGGTTTAATATTATTGGCCACCAATCATATATTATAGATTAAACATACTAAAAATAGCAAATGGACAGTCTTCTTATTAATAAATTACATTCCTAAAAAAATTGTTAAATCCCAAAAAATAAATAAATATTAATTTTGAAGGAATGAATACATTTTAACAATATAAATATTCTACATTTAATAAATATTATGTTGCATTGTAAAATCAATGCATAATATAGGGATTTTTCAGAAGCATAATAGTGAAATTCTCCTTTAACTGATATATAAAGAAACGTAAGACATACATAAAGAATTGCTGAAGAATTTGTCATCACTCTATTTATGAAAGGAATATACAAGTTGAGATAGTGATATAAAGTAAATATGGTAAAAATTTTCATTCATTTGCATAAATATTTTATATATCTAAAATGATTGTTTTTGTTGTTATATCTTGGACTGAAATTTTACATAATTATATTATCAATAAAATATATAAGAAAATTTTGATTTTAATACCTTTTTAAATAAAAAATTGAAAATATATTTTTTATAAAATAAATATTTGTTATAAAATTTAAAGTTATTTGTTGAAATATTTTTTAGAAATGAACAGACTTGCAATAGTTGTATGTTTTATATAATAATGGGAAAAATCATTTTTTTATTTATGATATATAGAATCAACATATATTTGAAATATAGTATGTAAATAAATATTAAATTGAATTTATATGAGTTATTTTGTATATGTATTACAAATGTATATATGTCAATGGTTCTTTAATACATTGTAATATTTTTGTTGTTTTATAATTATTATTTTATATTTAGATTTGTTTAATATTGTTGAAATAATAATGTATTACATTTTTGATATTAAATAATTATATATTATAATTAAATCATATAATAAATAGTTTTTAGTATATTAAACTAATTTTAAAAAAGCATTGAAAAATATTGTATCATCTATTATTTTATGTATGGTAAAAGAATGCAGAAGTGTTGATTTTATTCACAATATAAAAATTTTTACTTTACAAATGCTACTCAATTTTTTAACATTAATACATGAATATGACAAATAATAGAGATTACATTTTAAATTAATTTTCAAATGTGTTATACATTGAAAATACAAAAAAATAATAAAATGAAATAAAAATATAAATTATAAACAGAATACAAAATAGACTTATATAATTTTTAAATATCCTAGATCTGTTATATTTAATGAAAATATATGTGGAACAATAATAATGCAATCAATATAAATGCATAAATGCTTCTTTAAAATTGATAGATATATTATATTAAGTTTATTAGAATGAAGTTTTATTGTGTATAAATAAAAGAAATTTATTAATAGAAATTTTTAAGGTATCAATGTCTTTATAATTTAGTTAGTAGAATTATATAGAAAATATAAGACAAATTATTTTAGTTATTATAAATAGCTTACCTTAAAATCTTAACAAAAATTAATTTTAGCAAGTACAAAAAAATTTATATTTATAAGAAAAAATTATTCTGAATAGAATATTTCTAAAAATATATGTTGGTAAGGTACTTATTTAAGTTTTATAATTAATAGTATCAACAATTAATAATATCAATATTATTTAATGGAATTAAAAATAGAAGTTTTTATTGTCATTAAATAAATTGTAATGCATATTCTTAACAAACTGTGTAAATATTGAATAATATATTATAAATTTGGATATACAGATTAATAATATATACAAACATACATTTTCGTATATACTAGCAGGATTTCATTAAAAGAATGTTGAACGTGGTTTGCTGTATATAAAGAAGTTAATGCATATTTATAAAAACTTAATAATCCATATTGTATACAAAAAAGAATAACATGAGTCAATAAAACTTTTAGGATAAATAAACGAAAGAAAATATGATAATAAATATTAATGCTTACACGATTTAGTTTAAATATAGCAAGAGTATTGATAGAATACTGAACAAAGTATTCTGAATAAAGTATGATTATCAGAGAATAATAAATGCAAGTAATCAAGAATAGAAACATAAAACCTAAAGCAGATAATTAGAAGATAACTTACCCTAAAAACTAAATAAAATATGGCAATTATAAATTGAATTAAATGTAGAGATTAAAAAATAGAATAGTTAATTTGGAATAAATATTATTTAAATAATATACACTACAAATATTAAGTATAACAGAATATAATAGAATAATAAGAATAACAGAAAACCTTAAGAAAGTAAAATTTTATATTCTTATTGAGAATTAGAATGAACATAGATGAAGTCATATAATTATAAATGAAATAAATTATGAAAATACTAAAGCTAATTATGGAGCAAAGCAAGATTTTTATCAAAGATATGAGGTCTATATTTACTAAAAATATACAACAGCTAATAATTAGTTGTAAAATATAAGTAAGAATGCAAAAGGGAATAAGCAATTTAGAAAAGTATTAGACTGGAATCATCTATTATTTGAAATTGAAATTAGTATAAAGTGAAGAAAGACAAAAGGTTTATAAAAGGGATTAATCTGAAAGAGTAATTTTTATTAGTATACTTGAGAGAAAACATTGAATACATTGCAGAAAATGGATAAAGAATTTGAGCATTATGTAGTAGAGAAAATATATCAATTGACAATAAAAATAAAATAAAAAAAGTAAAAAAAAGGAAGATATACTAAAAGAATAAAATAACTTTTTGTTAAAATAGATGATCATAATGAGAAAAATAAATGCATGTTAGTAAATGTTATCATAGAATAGGAATAAAATAAGTAACAGATACAAATGTTTATTTATATTACATTTCTTTATGTATTTCTTTAATAAAGTTCATTCAATTTACCTTACTGCATAAATTCTATAGTGGACATTAGCGGAAATTGGATTTCAAATGAAAGCACATTAATCTAGAAATTTCATTTACTTTATAATATATAATGTCATATATAAAAAAATGTAATTATTTATTTTGTCAAATACTTATTGATGTTTTAATGATTTTAGAATTAAAAAAGTACTTTTATTACATGTAACTAATATTAAAATATATTAACTATTTTTTTTAATTATTAAATTCAATAATTTATTCAATTTAATTAATTTATTAATGAATTTCTTGGCAGTTTGCCTTATTTAATTTCCAGAGCTTATTGACAATAATATTGTTATCAGTATGCACTTGTACATACACTAGATTGATATTCCCAAGTCTAGTGGATAAAAATAAAAATGGGTAAGTCAAATTTTTATCAAATATGTTACAATCAAATAAAACATTTGTAATAATTTCCATTGATTTTTATACAATTTTGTATATATATGTATAAATTAGTTTAGATTTTATTATATATATAAATACATGCATAGTATAATCAGAAATTTTCAAATGAAATATTTTAATATATCAATTAAATTATAAGAAAATTAATATGAACTATCGTATGTTTTAAATTAGTATTTATTAAGACTAGAAAAAAGTATTTTATAAGATATAATAATATATAATAAATAATTTATACATGTGATTTAATAAAATGTGTCACTTATATATTTCAGATTATTAGGAGTACTTTGGAAATGTGCTAGAGTTGGTGAAAGGAAAAGCCCATATGTAGCGGTAGGCTGCTGTTTTATGGCAATGAGTATTTTATTTTTGACATAAATTAAAGCTAAGAAACATAAATTAAATTTTATAAGTTTTTTGTGATATTTTAAATTTGAAGTACAACATAAATAAATATCCTATTTCAAAATTTAATATTTTTGTTTAATTACTATCTGTGACTAAACTATATAGGTAAATAGAGAAGTCGATAAATAAAAAAAAGTACCACAGTTTTACGTTAGTCTGATTTTATTTGTTTCTCCTTGGTTGAATGGCTGTTAATGACTGTATACCATATGTATCACTGTACATAGTTACATAAAGTAATATATTTTAATTGAAATACTTTTTCCAATGATCAATAAAAGTTTAGAACAATGTTTCTTTAATTATAAATCTGTATTATTATTTATATATTTCATATTTTCTCCTTATTCTTCAAAGGTCATACACATAATATCAAATCATTTCAGATGCAGATATATATATATATCTGTTAGTATTCAAGAGACATAGATGATTATTCAACAGTCGGTTAACAATTAACTTTCAAGGCACATATATTAAATAGCTGTATATTTTCAAAATGCTGTCCCAACTTTTAAGGCTAATTAATTGTGATGGTCCTGACACTACTGAAAGCACTGTATTTTTATGTCTTGACAAGAAAGTAATCTAAGATGCCAAATACCTCTTTCTAGTATTTGTTCGGTTATGACGCTAAATTATAAACAACTTCCATATTGTCTATAAATACTAAAGCATAGCTTAACCATCATTCATCAAGCTTGATTATTTCCAATGTTCAAACTCTTGATATTTAAGCCATTGAACATTTTTGCATTGTTCTTTTTCACAATATATCAGCTTCTTGGCTATATTGAATTGTACAAACTTTATAACAGCAAAATTTAATATTTCCTTATGAATATGTTCTTAGAACTGTGGACACTGAATTATCCTGGAACTAGTGATTTATTATCATTGCAATTTATGATTATAGAAATAAAGTTCACCTACACTTTCAGTTATACATAGGGATGAGGTATTTAGTATTCAACGATGTCTCGTAATTATACTATACTTATATTATCTGTACAGCTGACATAATTTGTTGTAGTATTATTTATTAATCTTTTAGAGTATTTAATTTTTCTTTAGATCTTTATTTTGTAAAATTTCTTTTGGATTTTTATCCAAAACTCATTTCATCGCGATAAAAACTATTACTTAAATAAATTATCCGAATAATAATAGTCCGAAGAAAAAAAACAGGTTATAACGTTTTAGAAAATGATTTATTATAAAGTTTTAATTTGTCTTTTATGTGTGCTCATCATCTCACTAAAATGATCACATTCAAAAAATCACATTTGCTATAAATAAAACTATAAATAAGAAAGTGTTAAAAATATTAAATTGTATTATTAATAATTGCTATTAATACGTAAAGCATATAAATTATTGTAATATTTAATCGTCCATTGAAGTAGAGATGTTTCTAATCAGTTACTCTATTTTTTCGATTTTAATCTAATTGACAATATGATGTATATTTTGCATATTATTTATGAATTTAAATTACTGCACTAAACTGAATTTTCTTCAATTAGATTGAAATTTATGGTATAGAGCCTTTAATAAATTGTTCAGCATCCAGAAAATAAAACAATATGGAACTGAAAAAAAGTCTCATAAATATATTTTATTTAGTTAATGGTTGTTTTTAAATAATTTTATATATTTATTTTTAATTATTAAAAAAATATATAAATTAAAATTTTATAAAAACAATAATTTTTATAATAAAAAATTAGTATAATTTTAATATAATAATAATAAATAAATAATAAATAAAAAAAATAGCAAATTCATAATAAAATGGAAAAGTAGAATAAAATATATAAAAAAAATTTTAATTTAAAACTGCAAATAGATATTCATTATAAAAGAACATATACAAAATAAATATAGTGTAACTATATTTTATATGCTCTTTTATTTAAAAAACAAGAATAATTGTTTTTAAAATAATTAATATATTTAATTTCAAACTAATCCTGACTTATTTTACTTATATTAAATAAATGTTATACTGTAATGTTACACGACTACGTATTGCGCAGAATCGAAAAATTAGTATAAAGCCATACTGTTTTGCATACTTTGGTATAGAGATATAAATGAAATTTAATGTGTAGAATATATATGCGAATAAAGAGGCTAATAACAGTATTCAATTATATTATTAAACGCATTGTAACAATTTTATTTAATTAAAAAATGATTTCAAAAACTGTTGTAAGTATTGCTGTTGGTGTTGCTGGTATTTTTGTTGGATACTGTTTTTATTTTGATCAAAAACGTCGAAATGATCCAGATTTTAAAAAGAAGTTACGTGAACGTAAGAAACAATTTTGAAAACTGATTTATCTAAATCAAAAAGATGTGTGATTTTATTTGAAGTACTTCAGTATTATGGATTTTATTAAGAATAATGCAATTTTATATAAAAATTCAAATTTTAGGCACGTTTAAAATATATACTATAATTTTATAAAATATAAAATCTTTTTATTTTATATTATTTATACTGTAAAAGAAGTTATATTAAATATATATAATTACAATTTTGGATTTTATGTCAACTGTAATTAATAAAATCAAAGTAGCATAAATATAAATGTGACATACGATTCTTATTACATGTAATAAATACATTTGTAATATATTTTTATTTAATAGAAGAAATTTTTTAATTTGTATATTTTGTATTTTAATTTTTATTATTCTTTTTTAAGTTAATATTATTAGTTTAAATTATATAATTCATAATTTTGGAAAATATAGAAATAATTTATTGTTTTTTGAAATGAATAAAAAGAATTAGTATTGTTTTTGCAAGTATTATAATCCATTATAATAAAAGTATATTCAAAACAGATTAAATGATACCACTACTATTTAGTAATATTATTAAAAATATTAAATATATTAAATATATTAAATTATAGTAGATTTAAATTTAGTAAAATTATTATTGATTCATGGGATTTATTTAAGTTGTAATTCATGTATGGTATTTATGTACCTATTAAAATAAAAAATAAATTTATAATATATATAATTTTTATTAAATATTTGATTAAATTAGTAATCAAATATAATAAATTTAAAATAATAATATATTTATATTTTTGATCCTTAGTTTCTAATTAGAAGATTATGACTAATATGTTATACACATTTAATTTAATTGCATGTGAGTAAAGTAAGTAATTTATTAATTATACAATTATAAATTTATATTACAATGCTTTTTGTATATATATTTTTGTATATTGTTTTTCTTCATAGTTTTTTAAAATGATATATTTTTATACAAAACAAAGAGAAACAGCTTTATTGTTAAAATATAAAGAATTAAAGTTAAAAGATTATTAATAATATTTAGCTTGTATTTAATACACATTTATTACAAATTTTATAATTACATTTGTTTTTAATATATATCATTATTTTAATTTATAAAATCGTATCAAAGTATAAATGAAGCAGTTAGTTTATGCTGACATTAAAATTAAAAAACTATGATTAATAAGCAAAAAGTACTTTATAATTTTTCCACCAAATTAACATTATTTTTTTTTATTTAATACTGTGATACAATGTATTATAAAGAAATTTTTAAAATCAATTTATTTAATACTAAGTGGTTAAAAATTTATATAATATGCAATATACAATTTCATTTCACATATCAATAGAAATTTTTATAAATATATCTAGAAAATATAAATGTAAAATATGTTTGCATTAAACTTATTTGTATTAAAATACAAAATTCTTTATATTATCTTTTTTTTTAGTGAATTAAATATATATTTTAAACTTTTGCTTCAGCTAAAATTAGAAAAAAAATAGATGATCCTAATAGAAATAAAAATATTTGGTTTAAAAATATAATTATGTATTATTGTATGTTCCATATGGTTCTACATAATCTTATTTATCTTATATAGTTACTATTTAATCTTAAATTGAAACAAGTAAATTAAATAATTTTTTATAAGATGTCATATACTCTTATATAATGTCATTTTGTAATTATTCTCAAATATGAATTGAGTAAATTATTATATGATTCAAATGTATATATAAGATATTTTAGGTCGAAAAGCTAAAAAGGAAGCCCAAAAAGTTACATCAAAAGTTCCAAATCTTAAGGATCACGAAGCAGTGCAAAAGTTTTTCATTCAAGAGGTATATATATAATATTATTTTAATATTATTTAGTAGAAAAATTAATATTTGTGTTTTAATAGGTAGAGATGGGTGAGGAACTTCTTGCACAAGGAAACATGGAAGGTGGTACTGAACATTTAGCTAATGCAGTAGCAGTTTGTGGTCAGCCTCATCAATTGCTTGAAGTTCTTCAAAATGCATTACCAGCACATGTATTCCATCTTATATTACAAAGACTTCCAGCTGTTGGGCAGGTAAAAATTATATAGATATTTAAAGGTAACTTATGAAATGATAGACACATGCTATATTTATTATATAAATTTGTAGTCATTTGGTAAAAAGTATTTTCATTTTTTTATAGTAAGATTTTAAATTTGATTATTCATTTATGAAACTATTAATTATTTATTAATAGAATTTAACACTAGTTTTATTATATTAATTTAATAAACAATACTTATGGATGATTATTTGTATTTACTACAACTGGTTAAAACTTCATTGCATTAAGTTAGTATTCATAAGAAACTATACAAAAATTAAACATTTAAAAAATAAGCATATAAATTTTTATCAAAGCAACCTCCACTGTCGTTTTTGAACGTATGGAGAAAAGCTAATAATTTATGCTTATTTTACCATTGTTTTTCAAATCCTTTGGACATAATTAAATATAAATATGATTTGTAGATTTTATACATCTTTAATGAAAATAAAAAAATAAAAATACATTTGTTCTGTTTATTTTAGTTATTTATATTTATAATATAGGGTTTAATAGACATTTTTAAATTGTAAACAAAAAGCACATCCTATAGTTTCCTATTTTTTCAAATATTTCCATTCTGATAATTTTAAAGTGCTTTCATTCTTTTGCTTTGAAATATATACATGTAAATGTTGTTAGTATAATATTTAATCAGTTGGGTTGTTTACTTTAATTCCATTTTTTATTTTATAAGTAGTCATTTTAAATAATTTTTATGTTTAAGTTAATGTTTAATAAATTAAGACGTTTAATTTATGATACTTTTGTAACATAAAAAAAAATTTAAGAGATATTTGAAAGGAATTCAAATTAAATGATATTAATAAAGAATACCATACAAATTTTATTAAGATAAAAAAAGTAACTCAATCATTCATTTGATTTCAATGAATCAATAAAAATATATTAATGTGACTTATATTATAGAATATATTTATAAGTTTTTAAATAGAAGTTATAATATGTGTCAAAAAACTTATGAAGTTTTGTTATTCATAAAATAATGTAAGTCGTGAGATGTGTGTTTTTTTTAAATCGATTTTTCAGACAAGATTTAAAATTTTTGAAGTATTAGATTGGCAAAGAAATGTTCTTGATTTTGGATTTTTCCGAAGGTATATTGTATTAATGTGATCAAATATTTTAAAAATAATTATTGAAATATCTTTATTCTTAAAATATATTATTATTAGCCCATTATATATATTATGCAAATTAATTTCAAATCATTTGTAACTATAAATTCATTGCATATTTTCAAAATATATTTATCTAAGCAAAAATATATCTTAAATAAGTTTAGAAGCAAGCATCTTTGTACTGTTATTTTAAGTGTAATTTTTAATAAAAATTGTGAAATTTTGGTTGAATTTTTTTATTGACAAATGAGACTGAAACATTACACTAAAAATAAATATTATCACTCTTTGGTGCTAAAATGAAACAAATTTATGGATTAAAATTTTTATAGTATAGTTTTTAAAAAATCGAAATCTTATTTGTTACTATAAAATATCTACTAAATTAGTAATGTACTGTAGAATTTGAAGAGTGATGCAATATGTATAGCAAGAATATACATTGCAAAAAATATTTAGCATGGAAAAATTACATAATATATCAATATTTATATTAGTACTACTGAAAAGCATGAAATTATTTTAAAATTAATTTTATGAAGTTTACATATTATTAATATTATGTTGTGTATTAGGGAAGATCAAAAGCAATTGAAAATGTATGTTAAAAAATTGAAATGAAAAAAAAAGATTAATGATAAATTTTAGGTGTTCTATGGTAAAAAAAAAATTATTTGTAAAACCATTTTTAAAGTCAATATTTGAAATTCTAAATCTAATTCTTCTCTCTGAAATTTAAAACAATATATCTTATTAAAAAAAAACTAATTATTATCAAAAACTGTCATTATTCAAAATTAATAATTAATTTGATGAAGAATTAGAATATTTTATATAAAATCTAATTTTTGGTTTTATTTGTTTCAGATAATTTAACTTTAAAAGAAAGTTAAACAAATGCCAAAATGTTGGATTGATTAATTGCTTATATCTACACCAAATGTTATTTATTTTTATATATAATTATTTAAGATAAATATTTTAAGACAAATATACAATATAGATTCATTGTAATTTAAACAGTATAATATAAAGATAAATATTAATATAATAGTTTGGAAAAATAGAAAAAGTACTTTTTTACCTAATTGCCTGTAGCTGTTTAAAATATTAGATCATGTAATATTCAGTAATATTATGCAATTTATTACGAAAAATAAATGTATGAATCTGAATAAATAATATTAATTAAACATTCATAACAAGAACAAAATATCATTTATCAATACTTTGTTTAAAAAGTAACATCTTTAATTAATTGATAAATGTGTAATTATATATAAAAATAATTTTGATTAGACTAGAAATATCTTATTGTTATTTATTGCCTACTCACCTATCCTTTCCATTTATATACTTACATTCATGAGCGCGATATGAAGTGTGTCATTTGAATTCTGATGAGTTGTTTTTATGTTCTTTATTTTTTATGTTTTATGAACAACTATAGTATTTCTTAATATAAGTTCACTATTTAGAGTACTAATAACTTGTAAAGACACTTTAAAATATAGAAAAAAGGTTTAAATGAAATATTTATCATATAAGCAGTCTTTATGTGAAATATATTTGCAAGTAATTTTATAAAAAATCAATAAAATTATGTTTTTCAATGTATATGAATAGAAATAAAATTGACTAAAATCATATTTCAAATTAACTTGTACTTTTTATAGTTAAAAATGTAATACTAATACATGGTTGTAACGATAAGTTAATAAGTATTTAATAAATAAGTTTATATAATTATTTTTCATTACTATTCATTTAAAAATTATTTCATACACAAATTATTTATAAACTATTAGTTTATATATATTTTTCGAATAGAAACTCTAATATTCTATATATTATTAATTACACCAGTTTTTAATTTTAATTTGACTAATTATTAAATATTAGAATATTACATTTATGTTAGTATTTTAATTTTTAATTTTTACACTTAAAATAAATAATTTTATTGAATAACTGAATATTTCTAGATGTAGAATATAATGTAGTTTTCAAAGTAATTTCAGAATAAAAAATGACTCGTTATTTTAATTTTGAATTAATAATTTCAAAAATAAATTTACTGATATTCATCCATTGATGTCACTCCATTCTAGATTTTAGTTAAAAATAAATTATTTTTTCTATTTATATTATTGAAACCTCATAAAATTGATACTATTACTAGCTTGTAGTAAATTAATAAGATATCAAAAGTTAATATGTTAACCATTTATCATCCATTTCACAATGTAGTATTTGTAAAATTTCAAATTGTATGAAATACTTATTTTTCATGTGATTAGTTTTTTTTTTGGTGATTCAATGTTTTTCTTATATATATATATATATATATGTTGTACTTGATGTCTTACTAAGTTTGTATTTTTAATTAATTCAATTTTTATATTTTGTTTCAGAAAAATTTTGTGTTTCACCAGTTTAGTCCACAAACAAATATAGAAGATAGTGATTACCAGAAAATTTATTAATATAAATTTATTTCATTTTTCACTTAAATAGAATGAAATATAATTGTTATATACAGAACACAAATTGTTACTAATTTACAATTTAATTACATTAAAGCATTTAAATTAATTAATACAAATTTGTTCTTTGAAAGTTAATTATCAGAAAATTATATTTATTATGAATAATAAGTAAAAAACAAATTGCATAAATTTTATATGTTTATATTTATAATAGTCAATAATAATAAAAACAATATATAACTTGTTTATATTAAATGAATGAAATACCGTTTCTTTTTAAAATTTTTTTATATATCTTTAATTATTAATTTCAATTTAGTAATTTAATATATTTTGAATGAATATCTTTGTTCAGTAATTAATTACAGTAATGTAATTACGCTAGAATTTAACTTAAAAATTACAAATATTAATATATTCTTAAAGAACCCTTATGTCAGACTTCAGAAAATTTTCTCTATTTTTTTTGTAAAATAAATAAAAATTTTATAAATTGATAAATAAAATAAAAACATATAATTACACTTACTGTAAATCATTTATTAATTCTGTCATGAAAAGAATCAAACGAAAATAATCTTAATTTTATTTTACTTTTTATAAATATTATATTTATGTACTAAATTCTACAGGTATGTGATTACCTTCCTTGTTATTAAAATTTGAAAGTTTAAAGAACTTCAAAAATATTTATAATTATTTTTTAAAGATATAGTGCATCTTCATCATTCATTATTATACGGTATATTTATTAAATTATTAATTAAATCAAAGTAAATGTGTTAATATTGACAGTCACTGCAAAATTAAAGATTAAAGCTTAATGTATAAATTGAGTGACCTGTCGGAATTCTTTATATTAATTCAAATATAGTTTTGATTATAATCTCTCTCTCTGCCTCTTAATAATACAGCATACATTATAATACATACAATCAAAGAATAAAAAATGTTCAAACAGTAATTAGAAATTCAATTATATAAAAATAAATATGTCAAATTTATGAGATACAACAAAAAAAAGGTATATATTTATATAGTCAAGTAAATAATGGAAAATAATTAATAATATTGCTTACATCATCAAAAATTGATGAATATTTTATAATCATTTTTAATAGTTATTGTAATAATAATTAACTATAATAACGTTTTTAAGTTTTTAATTTACTAATTTTAATTTATATTCAGTAACGAAGAGCAAATCGAATAAAACGAATTCATAATATTATTAAGTTAATTATTAGCAATTTATTATTAACTTTTAATTTATTTTTCCATTTGAACATTACAGTAATTTAATTAAATTTGAAAATAAATATATCCTTAAGTTAATTCATTTACAACTTTTAAAATTACAGACAGCATGTTACATGAAGACGAATAAAAATAAATATTATAGTAATCAGAAAAATGGTAACGAATAGCTGTACATAGATAATATGGTGGCAGTTATCGGAATATTAACTGGTATAACTACACAAATTTCATTTCATGTCGTGATTCGCAATTCTTTATTGAAATACTTTATATTTTTGTCAATAAAATTCTTGTGTACGTGGATAGTTTTATCTATAACCTTGTAAAAACGAAAATATATTTATAGATAAGAAAATTTATAACTGTTAATTAATTAACTTAATTATATTTATTTTTCGAATCTGTTTTTACCACATAAATTCTAAAATATTATAAATAAGTAAGAATTTAGTTTAATAATAAATAATAAATTTTTTAGTAGATATATTATATAATAAATAGAAATATTTATTTTTCTGGTGTTACCTATGTGTCTGAGATCAGACTAAAAACGCTTCCCTGAGATGGTGAGGGGAGGCTTGCTGGCAAGTGGAATGGACAATGCAATAATTCTGCTTTTATATGAGTTGATTTTCCCTTTTATTGAATATAATAAATAATGAATAGTTAATAATCTATGAATATCGAATAAGTGTATGATAGAATAAATAGGTGAGAGTTTCTTCAGGTAATGTGAGTGATGATAATCTTATAAATGTATTGTATATTTATATTGTATTTATATTCTTGTGGTATGGTGCATGATTGACGCCACCGATTGCCGCTACCGATACGCTGAAGAGACCTGGGTGGTGGTGTTGGTGTGTAACGTCACTGGTGAGAAGAATTGATGCCGCCGTTGCCGCTACCGATAAGCTGGAGAGGCTTGAGTGGGGCGCTGGTGTTTGACGTCACTGTTGAGGAGAATTGATGTCGCCGTTGCCGCTACCGATGAGCTGGAGAGGCTTGGAGAGAGCACTGGACGTGTGTAATATCGTAGTTTTCGTGTGTGGAGACAATCTCAGTTGTATTGATGGTACGTAAGCACGTGTGTAATAGCGTAGCTTACATGTGTGGAGTCAATCTAAGTTGTATTGTTGGTACGTAATGACGTGTGTAATAGCGTAACTTACGTGTGTGGAAATATATCGTTGTGTATTGGATGTGACCTCTATATAAGTGATATTTGACTTGTAAGAAAGCGATTTGTGTGAATTGAAGGCGATCTCTGTGTAAATGGCGTTGACTTGTAGAACAATAATTTGATCTTGATGATTGCTTGATTGAACTAGTAAGAGGATGAGACCGTCATGTGCAGCTACGTCCGATATTTATTGTGACGTAAAGAGGGCATAGCCTCGTAGAGTTCATTTGTTATTACTTTTGGAATTATAGTAGTATATTCGAGTTTTTCTGTTATAGCATTCTTTGAATTCGTTAGTCAGTTTTTACAAAACAAATGCTCGCGCGCTCATACCTCTCCCACTTTTTATTTCGCTTAGAAACTACTGCAATCTGTAACACTATGTTATTTTCATTTATTTTAGAATATTTCGCTCATTGTTTTTCCCTTTACCATTTTTGATTAAGAAAGTTGACAGATTTCTCAAATTTGCTTAAGTTATGAATTAATATTTGCTTCAACTATTATGTGCTATCTTATTCTCTTATGTTTTATCTTGATTATTTTACTATGATGTATATAAGTATTATATGTTTTTCACAAAAGAACTTTATTATTTTTGTTACTATTTAATAGTTTTCGATTATTTAAATTATGCTATTTCTGACTGAATTTTAGTAAATGGTATATTGATTTTTTTAATTGAAGATTTTTAATTGTAAATATGTAGAACATTTAGTTAATCATTTAACAAATTATGATTAAAGTACAATCTGAAAATTAACTTTAATTAGTGTATTAGACAAATAGTTATATAAAATCAAATTATGCCGGTGCCATTAATTCAAATACTATATTACTTTATCTATGATCTCAATGATACAATGTAAAAAAGACAAAACAAAAAGTAAATAGTGAATTAAGATTGTTATACGGTATAAATGATTATTGTACATACAAATATATGACATATTAAATTAGGCTTAATTACATATATATTTTAATATATATTTCGTTTATAAAACTTAATTCATTGAAGATTTATTATTTTAAAAGTGTTGGATTATCTGCTGCTGATTTCTTAAACTTCACAGATATTCTTCATTATATAAATTTTTTTTTTTAAATTGATATTCTATTTGTAATATTAATTTCTACTACTTCAATTTGAAAACATATAACAGATGATTTTATCGCATTGCAAGTTTTGCATCTAATATTCAATTCATTTTTACACTACATTTCATGAAAAAGTACACACGAAATTTAATTAATAACTTTTTTATAGCTGATTTTTTTACAGCCATATACAGCCAATTCAGTAATTACATCATCGTTTTCTTCTTTTATTCGCTTCTATTTCTCTTTTTACTTTTTACATTATTATTGTTCGAGAATGTAGAAACTCCCAGCTCATTAGACATCTGGGAAACTCGAGATAAGAGTTCCAAAAAAGGTGAACTCTCGACTACTCGAGGAATAAACATTCAAACGCGCCTCGGATTAACAATTCAGCAAAACTTCGAATATCAAAAGAAAATACAATTCATAAACATATCTGGCGAGAACAAGGTCCAAGTGTCCAGCAAAAAGCCGTCATAAAACTAATGCTACGAGACATTTGACACGGCCTCACCACAAAGCATCTATCGACGACAAGTCATAATACTTCTGTCATAATCAAGTCATAAAAATATAAGCAAAAACCACCTCGTCTTACATCCGAAAAAGGGATATTAAAGGCAACACTACACGTATACGCTGTTGTCAAACCTAGCTACATGTGGCTCGGATAGTGAAGCGAGAACGTGCCAAGTCCCCCTCATGGTGGGGATGCAAGACCAGAAACGCTCTGATTGGAACCGCCAATAATAAAAGAATCAATTCGATTGGAGACGCCCAGACAGAGGCGCTCTGATTGGAAACGTCAAGAAGCAGGAAATTCATAAGGACCACGCAGTGGCCGAGAATGCCTTCAAGAAAGACGTCAGCAAGGCGCACGAAAGTCGCTCCTCACGAGAAAAGCCGGCAAGGTTTCTTCTTCAAGGGATCGTCAAATAACAAGGATGTAGACATACACAGTAAAGGCTGATTAAGAGGCAAAGCCTAGTCATATCCAACTCATAACAAGTGCAAGATAAGTGCAAATCAAATCATAAACTCGCAGCAGTGCAAGACAAGGAAAAAGGAACAAGTAAAAAATGGTGCACAAGGCACAATATAATCACAACCTATAAGGAGCCGTTCAGGCAAGCTCAGCAAACAATACGAGGTATAGCCAGAAAAAACACAAAACATAAACTACAAGCTGCCGTACGAGGCACAATCTGCAGACATCACTAGCTGCCATCAAGAGCACAAAATCTGCAGAGCTTACAAGGTAAAAGTTTCATTCCTTAATAACGATAATGATATACAATATGCCTCATAAGGTAAAGAACTGTAGAGCGACCAAGCTCACACAATCTGCAAACGCATAAGGGGCAAATTTAGCTCCCACAAGAAAGACTTACGAGGCGTCGTATGCCGCAATATCTGCAGCTAAGATGAAGACGGGGGTTTACGACCTTGTTCTTCTACGTGTATAACACCACCAACACGTGCATTACATATAGAGAACCAGAAGGCTATGCTCTTCTACCTGTACATGCAACGCACATTGCAGCTCTGTGGCAATAGCAATACAAAACTCAAGAAACGAAGGCATTCAAGCATAAACTAAAAATCATTATAATACAACTAATGCAATTATCGCAATAAACTAAAACAAATACCAAATCTATTTATTATTGAATACATGCACTATCCTGTCCACTTGCCCGCAATCCTCCCTTCCACCATCTGGGAGTTTACACCTAACTCTAGATATTTGGCCCTCCTAGCTCGGTACTCTATTTTTAGACAATTATTTTGAACAAAGTTCTAAATGTTTGCATTATTTAAAAATAATTATTTAATTATAATTAAAATTATTTGAATTTTATTTTAATTTTTTGATATATTATAATTCCAATCTATCTTTAACGTCTTCTTTGCGAGAGTTATATGTACTGTGTTTTTTTTGTCTCAAAATTCGCCATCCAAATGAATTTATATACTCATTATAAATATGCTTATAATAATTTGATTTTCTTTACGCAATCTTAGTAAAATTTTCATCTTATGTACGTGAAAGTATAATTATTATTTTCATTTTTCTGATAGTGAATATTTTTGCTCAAAAAATTATTTTTAAACTTTATGAAAGAAATTATGAATTAAATTTTAAACTACTAATATCTGACAATTTGATTAACACTTAAATGATTAAAATTTAAAATAGGATGCAAAGTATTTTTAATCTAGTAACATAGAACGTTACTTCTGTTTGTTAAAAGAAAACAATAGAACAAATAGAAATAGTAAAATATAACATAACTTTAAAATATAATATTGAAAATGTTGAATGGGAGTTAGAAACAATGATTATAGTAGTATTTATTCGATTTAGTGGATACTATAATATTTTTTAAATATATCATTATTTATTTAATGTATCTCTATTGAGAACATAAAACTATTAACTTTTAAATACCATGTAGCATAAAATATAACAATACGATGTTGTGATAATTATAAAATAGCAATATTTCAAAAAGTTTGTAAATTAAAAGCTTTATTGTATACTTTAAGATAACTTTATATTTTATTTTCGTGGTTAAAATATTACAATTATACAATTATAAAATTGATGTGCTAGTTAAATTGACTATTAATTGAACGTCAATGTTTACAATTTTTCAATGTTCATTATGAGGTTTGGATGTCAATTTTATTCGAGCAGTTTCTCTTGATCTGTTATGAACCTCCGCTGTTCGAAGGGTTATACCAAATATATCTTCATGAAATCTATTTTCATCCTAAAAAATATTAATTATTCGTACGAATTATTTGAAATATTGTAAAATTTAAATTTTTTTAAACGCGAATGTGAACATATATCATTGTATTAAAATATGTTCAAACAAGCTTTCATGATTATTAAATTTAATATTATTTCATGTTTAAAAAATAAAAGTAAAGGTAATAATTAATTTTTTGTTTAAGTTTACAAGTTCCAAGAATTATAGGTTATAAGTGGCGTGACAGTTATCAGTTTTCCTAATTTTACATAAACATGGAAAAGTAACAAACAATTATATATAATCTGTACGATGTAACATTTGGTGGATGATATCTGTTAAAAAAACATAACATGAATAATTTTTAATAAAAATTATGTAATCTCCGTCATCCTTTATCATAAGGCTGCAAATTTTTATTTATAACTTTAATAATAATTTTTAGTAATAACTTTAACGTAAATGTTATATATATTTCAATGAGTACCGATACTCGATGGTAATCGAGTTGATTCAAATGTAAACTATAGAAAACTGTTATATTTTTATAAATTTTTTAAATCTTATGGCATTGATAGTAGTATAAAATATATTTTTGAACCAAATAAGCTGCTCAAATAAATTTGTAGCTAATAACTTAATAATAAGATGTTAGTTCTGTATTATCCTGGATTTTATCATAATGAAAATATTAAAATATATTAAAGGAACTAATATTAAATAAGTAATTGTTTAATATTGTGTCCGTCTTCCAGTTTAGTCAATAAGAAGTGTAGTTAGTAAAAAATGTATTAATTAATAAAGTAATATTTAAAGCTATTATAATTATATTTAACAAATTTAAACATACTTTCATTAGAAAAGAATCTAAAACCAATACAAATTAAAACATAGCATTAATTAAAGATTATTTTTATTATAACTTTCATTTATATTAATTTTCATTATTTATAGTGGAGCTCTACTTATACGGGTTTAACTTTTAAGAATTTGGTATCTCGGGTCTGCACCCATTTCTTCTTGCATGAAATTAAAAAAATTTATAACACTTGTCTCTCAATTAGCATAAATTTGACCAAATTGTTACGGATTGCAGCATTCACGCGGTAAACAAAGTGGGAGAGGTAAAGACACCTGCTTAGGTCAAATTGTTGCGCGCCAAGTCATAAACATGATTCTCCGAAATCGGGAAACTTCAATACTCAAATAGGCAAATTTACACTACAATTCCGACTAACAAGGGCCGACGAACTCTTCAAGGCTAGATTCTACTGACGTCACTTCACCTATCGGCATGACAAGAGCAATCTAGAATTCACTGGAATCGCAAGCCTGTACGATAATATTTAAGGAGACGCGCTTGACGCTCTCGTCCTCTTAGTAGTTCAATCAAGCAGTCATCAAGATCAAATCGCTGTCCTACAAGTCAACACCATTTACATAGAGATCACCTTCAATTCACACATTACCGATCTACAGTCAACGCCTCTTCCACAGAGATCACCTTCAATTCACACAGACCGCCCCTACCTACAGAGATAGTCTCCCAGTACCATCACACGGATCGAGCTCACTACACGTAAGTCAAGCTATTACACACGTCCTTACGTACCATCAATGCACCGAGATCGACTCCACACGCGTAAGCTACGTTATTACACACGTTCTTACGAATCACTAACACACGACTCCGTGAACTAAGTAAGCAGCAATACCAAAACCACGGCATCATTGCCATTCATCAGTGACGTCACGCACCAACGCCAGTATCAGTAGCGGCAATCGGTGGCGTCAACACTCACCTATCACACCGTGATCCTCTTCACGGCATCATCATCCTTTATCAGCGCATCTCTCACTACCACTACGAGTCCTAACCAGGACTTTCAGACACAAATGAATTGATTTTTTCGTATATTTCTATTCATTTTAAGTTGTAATATACGTTGTAATATATTCTTTATCTAATTATATGTAATAGTTTGATAAAATTATGTGTATAAAAATTAATTCCATAATCCAGTTCGTAGAACCAAACGTGTAAAATTATCTAAGCAAACCACTAGATGTTGTGTGGGAAAATCCGTGAGAAAGTGGAAGGGTTAATGCACTGATTCAATAATTAACACATAATTCTTATTGCTGTTTATTCCATTTATTTTCAATTTATTTCCAATTTAGGGATGATTAATCGTGATGAGGTTATAAATGACCTTTATGTTTCTCAATAATAATATGGCATTGTGATATACTTTTATTGGAGAACTAAAGGATGATAAATTCATTATTCTCTGGACGCAACTCGTGAGATAATGATTTACTCTGAAAAGAGATAGGTTATAATCTATTGAATATCACCACTTGAGAGGTTATGATCGTTTGTTGTGCTCTGAACGAACACTACGATTCCTGACCGTGTCGTGATCTTAACACGTGTTGCAGTTGCTTCTGAATAGTAGGCCGTGTGAGTGAGCACGTGCCTAAGACAGAGGTTTGAGGAATGCACGCCACAGAATGATGCAAATTGTTGGTCTTGAAAGTCAGCATGTGCGGGAAGCTTCTGGAATCGGACAGCTTGCAGTCCGTTGGGTTAGTAACCTGTGAAGTGAAGAATCTATACTAGAAGTTTGGACTTACTTGAAGTTGTAGTGTGACATTCTCAGTTTCTTCTCATAGGCTTGATGGGAAGCTTCTATGCACGATCTGCTTGCACTTTAACTTTCTTTTGTTTCCTTTTACTGAGTGAGCATGCGCGGGAAGCGCCGGAAGTCAAGTGAAGATGAACACTAATATAGATTTACTTGAAGTTCTAGTGTGATATTCCTTATTTCTCCTCATGGGCGTGAACGTTAAACCTCCATGCACGAGTTGCATACACTTGAACTTTCCTTGTCTTTCCTTCTTGAGGTGACGAGAATCTCAGTCATTGTACGATGTGTACTTGATGAGACTAACACTGGATGTTGAACCACAGAAGTAGAAAGATATTTTACAAGACTCAGCTAATCAACTTTTCTTTGTTCATCCTTCTTGAGATAGGTTGTTACTTTTCGCGAGAATAAGTCGTGACTTTTCTGCTAAGAATAAGTGTTGTAACATTGCCTTTGTCCTTCTTAAATAATTCACTGACCCGGTTCCACTAGCAACCCCTTCTTCTTTCTTATATCCAATCAGAGTGCAACTTTGGGCGGCATGATTAATCATGCACGCCTTCATTTCCACTTCCTTCCAGGTTTAGTCTTGAATATACTAAAATCGGGAAAGTGTCTATGGGGAGGGGGGTCTCCAATTCGTGTTCTCTCCCTTCTCTGGGACTTAGCATTGTCTTAAAATGCCGATGTGCACGTAGGCCGATTGTCCGATATCGCAAGTGCTGAGGTCTTGAGTTGCAGTGAAAATTAGGAAACGTTTTTTATGGTCAGGAATTGTACGTACATCTGGCACTTCTAATTGTTCTAGTACAAACAGACGCCTTCGTGTCAGTAAACAGTTAGATCATTAACGCGTCAAACAATGAACGTATTGGTAATGCGAAGTAACTAGTATAACTGATTTTCGGAGTTTTCCAGATGTACTGACCTTTTTGTGTTTCCGACATTAGTAAGAGAGTTTTCTTCAAGCCTTATGATTGAGTTTAATGACTTTTAAGCTTGATAAAAAAAGAGCAGGAGTTTTATTGAAGACTAACGACAATTTAACGATGTTGCTTTGCCAGATGTTTTATTGCATTGAAAAAGGTCTCGCAATCTCAAACATTAAGGATCAACGGAATTATTGAAGTACATAATGCTGCGATAGAAATATTCTTATTATGAATAAATAAGAATCATTAGAATAAATTCCACCATGATAGAGGTTAATTGGATTGATATAATACGTAGCTTGTTATTAGTTATAAAAATAATTATTTATTGCTTTGTTAGTAGATTAAGCTCGTAAAGTTAACGTAGGACATGGATTTAATCATTTGGCAGGAAGAAATATTTATACATCTGTTTGTCTTCAAATTTTATTTTTCATCTTATTGTTCGTATATTACTATTAGGTTACATTTTTATTAACATTAGAATTCGATATTATAAATGAATATAGTTAATATAATATATATATTGTAGGAATTAACCTAGAGATCAGTAGATGTTATGTGGGAAAATGCGTGGGCAAGTGGAAGGGTTAATGCATTGATTCAATAGTTAACACATGTTTCTTATTGTTATTTATTCCATCTATTTTCCAAGTACAGGGATGATTGTTGATGAAGTTATAGATGAACGTTCGTTACTCTTTGGCGGTTGGAATGTGGCCTTCGTTTGGAGGTAGGAGGTTGTAGGTTCCCCTGAGAAAAGGGGGAGGTTGTAAAGCTCTCGCCATTTCTTCGAGTAGTGCCACGTGGGGAAACTATGACTGCGTCGTGTTCTTAGGTACACACTGCAGTTCCTTGGCACGAGCCTTGAAATAGCAGAAGGATCCACACGGTATTATACAGAGTGGTGCGAACTAGGCGTCATGCGGACTGAGCATGAGTGAAAATACCTTTAAATAAGAAGAAATAGAGGAGAAATGATAAAACTCTAAATAAGTGAATTGTACACGTGGGTATGAGCCTTGAAATAGAGCGAAGATCTCCTGAGGCACAGGCTGTGAAAATAATAGGAAATTGTAGCTTTTACCTTGAATTGGTCTTGAATTTTGAAGTATGCTATGGATCCTGGTAACTGGAGATACCGTGAGAGATTGGTGGCAAAGCACCTTGATCGAGAAGTTTACTAGCGAAGTTTGTCAAGAAAAAAATTCGTGGAACTGTGAGTAGTGTGCCGTGGCGCGAGTTACAAATTCCTCTAAATAAGTGAGTCATACGCGTGGGCACGAGCCTTGAAATAAAGAAAGGATCCACACGGAAAATACACTAAATGATGCGAAGTACACTTCGTGCATGATGAGCAGGAGCGAAAATCTCCTTGGGCATAAGCTGGCGAATGGAGAGACCGTGTGGGATAGGTGCCGCGAAACACCATTAA